TCGCTGGTGCTATGTGGAACAATCCTCATATCCTGGTCATGGACGAGCCCACCAACTACCTCGACCGCGACTCCCTCGGCGCCTTGGCTGGAGCCATCCGCAAGTACGGAGGAGGAGTTGTTCTCATCTCCCACAACCGCGAGTTCACCGAGGCTCTCTGCCCCGAGCGCTGGGTGGTTGAGAACGGAGAGCTGCGGCGCGAGGGAGAGGTCGCTGCGGACGAGAAGATCGACGCGAGCGCCAACGAGGCTCCTGATGAGGTGATGGACTCGCTCGGCAACGTGATCAAGGTCAAGAAGGAGAAGAAGCTGTCTGCCCGCGATCAGAAGAAGCTCGAGAAGAAGAAGGCTCAGCGCAGGGCCGCCGGCCTCCCCTCCGACTCCGAGGAGGACTGACCACGAATTTTAGGAAGGTTTGGGAGATGTGAATGCTCAAAATGCAAGGGGTTCTCACCTTGGCGATGTGAGCAGCTTCGCTCCCCTCGGGCTTGCAACGCTGAAAAATCCTGCAGGTCTGCTCCTGCAACTTCAGCCTAAGATCGATCAAAACAAGATGGGGATTATCGAGTCCACGGTCAGCAATTGAGCTGGGGATTGAGCTGTCTCATCACCATGACAGGTGAAGTATGACCACAAGCTTGAGGCCCAAGGAGAGATCGCTTGTCAGACCCTCAGCTTCATCTTCATGTGGTGAGATCTTACTCTGCTCTTCGGCATGCTCTGACAGAGAGAAAGGCTGGCGGATGTGCTGAATCATCCTTTGCGAGACACGCAGGCATTTAAGGGGTGCGAAGCAGCGTGGCCCTTTGACGTTTCTGTGCTGCCTGAAGGTGCATCGAGGTAAAGCTGGCAGAGGTGCCAGCAGTAGCTCAATTTTCCCTCAGGGTACTCTATGGTTCCTACCTGCCACAACTCGACCCCTCCCTTCTGGACTTCAGCACGGATGGTGTAGTCTTTGCCTTCTTGTGGGAGAGCGATGATGCTGTTTGTTATGCAGTCGCTGGATCGGATGGAGCAGAGAACAAACTGCGAATGTCCTACATGACGCTTGCAAAACGATACTGCGCTGAGGTGGGAAGATTGATACATTAAGGGGTTTCAAAGAGGTTGCTGAAACTTGAGTTGTTAGCTGCTTGCTCAGATTGAAGTCTGCGAATGCCTCAGCATCAATACTTTGAATGCGTTCACGAAGGTGCGAATGAATGTCTCCAGCAAAGCTGTCAAGCGACGAGGCTGCTGATGAGACTTGTGCTAGGAAAGTCTTGTCCTTCGAAGAGTTTATGCATGGAGTATCCCATGTGAAGCTGCGCTGCAGAAAATCTCCTCATATTCTCCATTGATTGAGGTAACAAAACACGTGAATCGTTTGGTCTGATCTCAGTCTTTTAAGATCGGCTGTGGCACGGGGTATTGGGCAGACATCTTGACAAAACGGGGTTGTGACATCCTGGCGTTCAACAGCGAAGAGTGGTAAGAGGTCATCGCAAGAATTGGCTACGATGAAACTTTTGTCAGGTCGGAAGAGCTAAGTTCAGAAGAAGGTGATATGGGACAATGTGGTTTGCATCCGAGCGAGTGTTTTGGTGAGGTCTGGCCACATCGATGCAGCTGTCGAGACAGACAGTCACTCACTCTACAGGTCTTGCTGGGTGGTGCTGAGAAGGTCAAAGAGCATCCAGACAGGACCCTCCTCCTCATGTGGCCTGACTTCCTCGGTTGGTGGAATCGCTCTTGAACTTCCCTCCTTTCCCCTCCCCAACCTTCCTCCCTGTGAGCCCTCCACTTGTTCCTCTTCTGGTCGTTGCCCTCTTGTTCCCATTCCTCAGCCCATCCCCTCCCCCCACCTCCCCTCCCTCTCCGTCTGTCTCGTCCTGACGTCTACCACCAGGGAAGGGATCGTTCGGTTTGAAGTCTCTGGACGAGTACGAAGGAGAGTTTCTCATCCTTGTGGGAGAATGGAAAGGAAGGACTTGGGGCGGGTACACCCCGGAGCTAGGCGATCACGGCCAGAGCTTCTCGCAAGAGTTCCAGGTGATTGAGAGCACCTCTGAGTCTGCTCACACATCTTTCAAGGAGGCCGTTACTTCCTCCTTCGAGGAGGTCGAGGTGATTAGGCTGCCCTGCTGGCCTCTCTTCCTCGACACTGTCATGGTCTTTCGACGAAAGTCTTTGCAGTCATTGATGGAGCAGAATGGAGCTGCTCAGTAAGAGGAGGATGTGTGGAGTGTTTTGCCATGATTTTCTTTTCAGGTGTGAGCCGAATGATATGCTGGCTGCGTTCTTTGCCGGCTCCTTCGATCCATTTGCTGGGTTGGACCTTGAAGGCGACCAGATCGATGTAGATTGAGTTGCAGCATCTCAATCGGAGACGAAATTGTTGCAACACAGTATCAAGACCTGCTGCATCCGAATCAATTTCATTCATCCGAAATTCCATTCGAAGTTAATGCAAGTTGCATAGCCCAAGCAGAATAGGATCAGTACAGGATCGTCAGCACTGAACACGGAGCTTGATATTCTTGGAGCCTCTAGGAACAACTTCATACAAATAGATTCAGCATGCTCGCGATCCCCTCTGCCATTTTCCCTTGTGGCAAACCTTGCAGTTCCTCCCTTTCTCTTCTGTATCGTCATGGATTGCTTAGTTTTCTGTATCTTGTGTAACCGGCTGGGCGATCGGAGTCGCTTCTGCACGTGCGACAGGGATCGCCATGGGGATAGAATCCGCTGGGATCGCCATGGGGGCTGACGTGGCTGGTACAGCAGCGGCAGCTTGCATGCCATACCCATTCCCTTCCAGGCCGCCATCGAGTGTTCCAGTCTTCATCCTCACCCAGTAGCTCCACAGGATGTAACCCCAGTAGAGCTTGATGAAGAGTTGGATGATGACACCGATGACTGCAGCAGGAGATGAGGAACGGTAATTGCAGGTTTCATTTCGAAAAGCTCGGCATGCGTTGGTATTGTTTGCCGCACAAGTCATGCTGCAGTAGAGATCGAATGTTGGATCCTTATCTCTCTTACTCTTCGACAAACCTGGTGTGTAACAGATGTCGAAAAGTTCGTAGAAGATTGTGAATACCATATGGAGGTGGAACAAGATCGAAGCCGACGTAGTGTCGCTGTTAAGTCTCACGAGACCGAATAGGTATATCATGCACCCCACAATCCCCAAGATGATGCCGATGATTATCACTGAGTCTGCCGAGGTCTTGCAGCAGTCGTTCGCCTTCAACTGCACGCCGCTGGCGATGGCAACGATGAGATAGTCGAGCAAGAGGATGGTGCAAACTCCCCGAACAGCGAAAGAGATTGGAGGACCACAGCAAATCTGACAGCATCCCTCTGGTCCTGCACAGAGGCTGAAGAGGACAAGTCAGTGGGTGTGGATCATTTTCATCAAGCGAGGTAAAAGCAGGTACTTCAAGGTGAATCGACACAAGCAGGGAACGGAGAGTGAAGACTCTTGAAGACAGGCAATCAATTTGAACTCGCATCTCTCTGTGTCCCAATCAACACCCTCTTCACACCGCTCTCTTTCGCACAAGAGCTCTGCGATCCTTCCTGCACTTCTCCCCGCACGCTTTCTACTCCCCTCACCTGCATCCGCATCGATCGGCTGGCTTCAGCGGCATGGCAAATCACGTCCCTCAGCGTTCAACAATCCACTTCTGCAGGAAGTGGGGTAGGTGAGTGATGAGTAATAGATCAGTACGAGTCTCACTAAAAGAAAGAAAATCTCATCTCGGTGTTTCCGATGACGCGTGCCTCGGAAACGCCGGGGCCCGACCGGCCGGGCCCACCCGGGCCGCTGCCGGAGCCCGGATCCACTCCAGCCGGGGCCCCCGCCGATCGGCCCGGCGGCGGGCACTTGGATGATCACTCCTACTTCGTTTCTCTTTACTCAAAGTTAAGTTGAAAATCAGTTACGAGGACAATCAGGACTTGACTCCCGTTTGCTTCCGAAGTTCGCCGGTATGCCAGAGTTTCAAGTTTTGAAGTTTTTACGAGCCCGGGCCCCGGGTTACTACGGTAAATATGGCGAGTCGATCAGTGCGGGCGGTCCCACTGAGTTGTCTTGGTCTGGACGGTGCAACGGACTGTCAGCCACCAGTACTGCCCCAGAGCCTCGACCGGCGGAGACTTACCATGTGGTTAACATAGTATGGCCTTCCAGAGCTTGGATCGATGGCCTCCTCCCAGCCAGGTGGAAGGGAGCTTCCATACCTGCGTCAGTTGTCACATTGCGAGTCAGCTTCTTTGCACGGGATCAACGGGGGAGGAGGGGGAGGAGGCAGAGCTTCAGCGATGGAAGGCATGGTGGACAGAGGAGCCCGCTGCGCGCGAAGTGTCAGCGAGCTCTGAAGCACCGGACGTCTAGAGAGTTTTCACGTTGCTCATGGGAATGTTGTCGTTGGGTCTAAAAGATTGCTGCCGTGACATGTCCACAGTCCAGACAGACTCCACAACAGGCTTCTTCTTCGGTCGGAGGTTCTTTGACTTCATGTAGGATGTCAGCTGATCCGGAATCTCATGGAGAACTTCCTTGGCCAGCAGAGGACCATTGCTTGCCAACTCTCTGAAAGCCACAAACTGTATCGAAAGTCAGACAGGAAATTTGACTGTCAAGCCAGGGAGGGAGATGATGGACATCGAGAGACAAGATCGACGAGTGGTGGGGACCAGGTGGGAAGGAGCTGACCTGCACAATGTCTCTCGAGACTCTCTTCCCTGTCCTCTCACTGGTAAGAACCTCATCGTCTCCGTCCAACGTGTTCATCTTGTCGAAGTTTGCGGGCCCAATGCCAACGATGACAATGGAGAGGGGAGAGTTAGAGGCGTCGATGATCGCCTCAGTTGTTTCCGCCATGTCCGTGATCTCCCCGTCGGTGAGGATGAGCAAGACTGTGTACTTCTGCGACTCGACAGGATACGAACGAGAGATGGTGTCTGCATTGCGAATGACCTGAGCAAAGTTGGTGGGACCGAAGAGCGTTACGTTCGACAGGGATGCAGCGTATGCGTCCAGAATGCCCTGCACCCCCAAAACGCTCGGGTTGGAAGCATCGCCATTGAGGGAGAAGCAGTGAGATACGGAGCCATTGGGGAGGCGAGCGCCGAAGCCGAACACGTCAAACTGCTTGTCTGCATCGTACTTCTCGAGGATCTCACCAACAGCAACAATGGCCTTCTGGTAGTCATTCCAGCCTGTTGGGTTCATGTAGTGAAGGGAGTTAGGGAGGTTGACGTTGCCGTTGCTTGCAGTGAAGTCGACGGCGACCATCACGTTGATCTCGCAACCTCCGGCTATGTACTCGAGGAAAGATGGGGGATGGTAGATCTCAGCCAGGCTGACCACAAGTTGCCCCCTGTCCTTGTTTGGATTCTTTGACTCTGGTTTTGTGAAGGGGAAATTCTTTGGGGCTTTGAGAAGTTCCATCGTGTTTGTCGAGACCTGGAGAGCATAGGAAATATCATTCCCGTGTAAATGAAGAAAGCAGACAAATGTAAAGAGGGAGCATCAGGAAGCAATAGGCCACGAATGAGAAGTCTACCTTTCCAAGATAATCATGCTTTGAGACAGCATTCCAATCCCACAACTCAATCACAATATTCGCACTGTTGTCTCCCGAGTTGAAATTCTTCAAATGGGATCATTCCATCAGAATCAAAGGATCGGCTATCGAAGTTCATCTACCTTCAAAGGAATCTCTATAGGCTGCCATGAAGGATCCTTAGAGTTCTTGATGACCTGAAAGAAAGGTTCAACAACAAGACTAGAAGCTGTACCACCCTAATGCTTACCTCAGTCTTCCACACCATCTCATACTCCCCGTCCACTCGTCGCCTTTTGAAAACTAGGTAGTGATCCCCCTGTTCACATTCACCTATTCAACTCTGTTGCTCTCCTCTACACCCTCACCTTCCCGAACCAATCTTTCGTCTGCACCTTTGAAGCTGCAACGCGCAGACGGATGCAGTCGTTCTGAAAGTTCTCTCAGGGCCCAGAAACATTTGTCTACTCTGAAAGTCTTACAAAGCCTTTGATTTCTTCCGCCAGAATGCGAATCGCACCGTATTTCTTCTCATCTGCACCTGGGTACGCGATATTACATGAGTCACATTGCCTGCTGGTTTGTTTCTTACCCGACTCTCCTTTCAGCGGCGCAGAGAGACTGTTTGACTTTGACCCGACGATACTTCCCAGACTTGACTGAAATCATCGTTAAGGAGACATCTCGATCCACCATTGCCACAACGATGGAAAAGAGATGTCACCTCGCAAGATCCGATGAAGTCTTGTTGCGAAAGTTTCCTCGATTTGTTGTCTTCGTCATACACACTGAACCTGTTATCATTCAAAATCAGAGTCATCTAGCTTTCTCCAGGCTACTCACTTCAAATGCTGCATCTCTTCGAAAAAATAATCCATCTCGATGGTGGTAGCGAATCTATCAGATGATTAGAGCTATTGTGCCCACGTAAGCTTCATTAAGATGCCTCGGGTTAAGATTGTTGTAGATAGTTTCAGTTCGTCCGATTTCCTTCCACCTGTCGAACTGTCAGCGGCTCTCCAAGACAACCAATCAACAAGGTCCCACCTTCCCTGCTTGTCCTTCAGTTCAATCACCACGAACGGGTCAGATTTGCTAAACGTGTCCATGTTCCTCAAGGATCTGGCAAGGCGTCAATGAGAAGAGCTGCAGTACTGAGGAGGTGATGTCAAAACGAACAAACTTACTTGCACTCGATTGATAGCTTGACGCGGGAGCATGGCAGTGCCCCATCTGGAGCATCCTGTTCGAGAATACCAATGAGCACGCGAGAAGCGAGATTTGAAATGTGGATACCATGAGATGATAATTGACGGCTGTATCACTCATTGGAGTGAGGTTTCGAAAGGAAAGAACTTCTGGAAAACACAAACATAATGTCACTGAACATTTGACACTGTTTGCTAGCTTCCTCTTTGCTGTTCTGCTCAAACCCTTCCAACTGCCCTCAATCTCTCGTAACCTTATCGCATATCTCTCAAACCAGTCTCCTCGTAACTCCTCCCATGAACTTCTTCAGACTCTCTCAAAAGAGTCTGGATTTTTGAAATGATACATGAAGGAAACTTGTGAAGACGAGCTGATGTTTTGATGAGATCATCGGAGAGGTTGTCGAAGGGTCTTGTCCTCTCCATGTTTGTTTCGATGTTCGATCTATCTCATTATTGTATTCGTTGTGTAACATTTGACCAACCCCATACCAATCTTTTGTTAATCCAGATTCGAAACTGTGAAACAGCACCCTGTCCAATTTGAAATCTATTTGGCGTAAAACTTCAAATTGGAATCAATAATTTCGTAGATTTTTTTCTTTGTTTTCATCCAATCCAATTCTTTTTCTTTCTTTTTTTTGTTTTTGCAGGACTGGAGTCAGACGCGTGTCTCCGAGGATGCAGGGAGAGGAGGCGAAACAAAGCGAGATGCGATTAGAGTAAGGGGGCAGGAGGCAGCACGGGACGCTGGGAATGAGGGGAAAATGCTAGAAGGAGATAAGAAGCATGCTCCAGGATGTTTCATCGGGATATGAGACCAGCTTACATGTATTCGCAATGTTCAACTCCTGGATCCACAGTTTAGCTAGTTTTGTTAATTTCTCCTTTCCAATCCCATGATCCGTGTTCACCTCTCTATGCATGTTTAAACAATATATGTGATGATGTTCCAAAATCTGCATGACATGTGATTTTCATCTCATTGTGAACAAATTTCGGTTTTAGATTGAGAATAAGAAACCCAGGATGGCAAAGTTCGAGCTTGCAGGCTCCTATGTTGCTCTGATCACTCCTTTCACTGACAACGATGAGGTAGCTCCTTTTTTAACGACAAGGATCGCTTATCTGACTCAAATATGCTCAGGTCGATTATGCCAAGATCGAGGAGCTCGTGGAATGGCACATTGCTGAGGGGTATGTTTACATGCTGATGTTTTCCTCATTGCTAACAAAAGGCAGTACTGCTGGCATTGTGCCATGTGGGACGACAGGAGAATCTCCTACCTTGACCGAGGAGGAGAACAAGAAGGTACTGTAAATCGTCAATCTGAAAGCCAAGGGAGTGACTTTGTCTCAGGTCATCGAGACTGTTGTCAAGAAGGCAAACAAGCGATGCCATGTAAATTACTGGAAATATCTTCTAGCTTGATTCTAATGATTGCCTCAGGTGGTCGCTGGAGCCGGTGGAAACTGCACCAAGAAGGTGGTTGCGTTCACCAAGTGGTGCAAGGAGATCGGGTACTAGTTACCTTGTGAGTAAACGTTTCTGACTTCAATGGGAACAGGGCTGACTGCGTCTTGAGCGTCATCCCATACTACAACAAGCCAACCCAGGTCTGAGATGATGCTTGGTTTCAGTTCCTTGGGATGACTGGACAACAGGATGGCCTTTACGGGCACTTCAAGGCTGTGGCTGATGTTGGAATCCCAGTGATGCTGTACAACATTCCGGGTGAGCGAAGTGCGATGTGATGCTTGCACACACTGATTGCGATCAAAGGACGTTGCGGAGGTGGAGGTCTCACCTCTGCCACCATTGCCAAGTTGTACAACGACTGTCCGACCATCTGTGCTGTGAAGGAGGTCAAAGAGATGTCAAATGTGTGTGGTCCTTAATCGTGGAATTACGATAGGCTACGGGCTCCGTGGATTTCTCCTCTGAGATCTCTTCTGTCTGCGGCATCCAGGTCATCAATCGCAGACTGTAGACCTTGTCGGAGGGCAGCTGACAATTTTCGTAGATCTTCTCAGGAGATGACTCTCTCACTGTTCCCCTCATGAGCATCGGAGCCAAGGGTGTGGTCTCTGTAGCGGCAAACCTTACCCCCCGCAAGGTGTCTGTTCGTCTTGTAGTTCAACCTGCTACCTTCTGTTTCTCTGATTTCAAAAACAGGTTGCTGATCTTTGTAAGGCCATGAAGGACGGAGATCTCAAGAAGGCCCAACAGCTGCACTCTGAGCTCTACAAGCTTTGCAAGGCAATGTTCTGTGAGACCAATCCTATCCCTTGCAAGGCTGCTGGAGCCATGATGGGCAAGTGGAAGAACAATACCAGGTCTGTTTCATCATAGTCGTAGAAGAACTTACTTGATGCAGATTGCCCATGACTCCTATGAAGGCTGAGAATGAGCCACAGCTTAAGGCGGCTCTTCAGGCTGCTGGACTTCTTTAGATGATTATTGCACATGGCTGCTGCTAGAGGTTCAACAAATATTACGGTTGGTGCGATCACTGTCATACAGTTCAGAGTCACTGAGTCACTGAAATCAAGTTCGGGCCTGAAAGTTATACCGTGGTACGCGGTCTAGCTTAGTAGCGCGGCCTTCAGGGCCACAGATCCGCCCAGCCTCTCGCCGCGACTCCCACTGCTCCGGGGTTGCCGCTCGGCATTATGTCGAGTGGTTCAACCCGGCGTTACTGAAGCCGGTGACGGGCCAGGCAGAAACCGGCTGTTCCCGGTTGACCCGCCTCAGAAGAGCGGCTGGCCGGCAAAATCATCTCCCTCATGCACCATTACCGTTGGAGAGGAGTAGGGGGTACTAGCATGAACAAGAGAGAAATGGGGGTGGTGGGTATGCTCCTCCCCAAGGGGTGGTGCTGGCTTGTTGTTCATGAGATTGAGCAAGCAAGGGGATGCGCAATGAGAGGCAGGTGAGAGGAAGAATGAGAGAAGGAGGTTCGGACATGGCGAGCCAGTAGGAAGAAGAAGTTTCTGCGGTTCTCTTTTCAGGGCACAGACTCCATGGGCTGTGGTGCTAGCACCAATGTCTTACAAAGGCTGGAATACATCACTGAGCTTGAGTCAGAGGTACAAGATCTCAAAGCGCAACGAGATGAAGCACTTCGCCGCGTCGCTATCACAGAGTCCGAGAGAGAAAAAGTTGCGATACAGTCTCTCAAGAACCGTGACTCTGCGAAAGCAGCCAAAAAGCGTGCAGTGGATGTCGAAACTGAAGGCAGCATACAAACAGCCTATCTAGACGCGCAGTATGCTAGAATCAAGGCAAACGAAGAAGAGCTCGTCCGGGAAGTCAAGTCCTTGAGAGCAAACAATCATCTCCTCAAATTGGAGGTTGACTCTGCCAAACTTGAGATCAGTACTCAAGAAAAATCACTGCGAAAAGATATTCAGACCTTGGAACAAGAAAGGAATGCGATAGCATCTACTTTGATTGAAAATTACGAGCTTGTCATTTTAGACTTGATCAACAAACAACGTGATATGATGTCAGAGAACATTGACTTCTTGCAGCATATTTCTGATCTGGCAGATGGCTTGAAAATCAAACAAGTCAAGTTGGACACAAATGCTGATATCGAAAGGAGAAATGAGAACTTGCAAGCATTCAATAGAGTTCCATTTTCAGATTATGTGAAGGAAGCTAAGTCATTCATGATGACTGATCCGAACTTGAAGGATCTTCTAGATGGCAAGAAATCAAAGCAGGAAACGCTCAACCTGCAGGAGATCGAGGAACGCCGGAGAATTGAAAATGAGAAGATTGAAAAAGACAGATCTGAACGCGTAAAGATATACGAATTGGCTGATTTAGCTCCAAAATTACAAAGAGAGGTGGAACAACTCAAAGGTGATAAGTCAGAACTAGAGAAAGAGAACAATGACTTGAAAGTTCGCATCGCGCAACTGGAAATATTTGCTTCCCAAGTGCAGCAGCATCACATGAACGTGAATTCTGATTCTCTTCAAAGTTCGGAATATCAAACATTCGCTTCATTTCAACAAACAGAGACTTCTGTCCATAGCCTGTCGCTGGGCTACAATGAAAACTCGCACCTGAGCGATTCCGTGTTTGAATTAGATGCTGCAGAAATTGAAATGAAACTGGACGCGAACTTTCGGGATATATCCAACCCTAAGGACAGGGTGAAGTTCGAAGAGCTGTTCATTCAAGACACGGCAAAGGCACTTGGGATACCAGTCAGTCAGATCAAGATCAAGGGCATCAAGCCTGGAAGTATCATCGTTGAGTTCGTCATCCTTCCGGATAGAGAATCTCCTAGGGAGGAACGAAGGTCCTTGTCTTGTACGATCCTCCAGTCACTGACTTTCCTGCTCCTCCAGAGCGACACCAATGGATCTTGCCAACGAGCTAGAAAAGCAGATGGAAGACCAGTCCTCTCCTCTCCGTCAGGGTATTGTCACTTGCTCTGCCGTCAAGCTTCGATCTCGCCCGTCGTCAGCTGCCTCGTTCAATTCTCCGCTAGAGGAGACAGGGTCTAGGTATGATCCAAGAAAAATACGAGGAGCTATGAGCGAGAAAGGGAAGTTGCGGGAGCAGCTCAGGAAGGAGCAAAGGAATCAGGACCAAAGAAGGAAGCAGCACTCTAAGGAAGTAGAAGATGCGTTGCTGTTTTCTCCGGAGTTGGCTGATGTTGAGAGAGCAGTTGCAGAGAAAGAGCTTCTTCGTGTGCCACCTGTACAGGAATCGAAAGCCTCCGGGGCTGTTGCACACAAACGACAAGTGGAGATATTGGACGTGGAGGATGAGAAGCTGCTTGACGAGAGTGAAAGCATCATGACGGATCCATTGGACGAGAGCAGGTCCATTGATAGGAGCGTGTCATTGTCATGGTGGACTTCGCATCAACACCACAAGCTGAATGACTCGCTAGAAGTTGCAGGACGAGAGTTTCAGCATCCCAACAAACATGCAAGGGTTTTCATTCATACCAGCTTTCGGGATTTCATCGAGGAGAGGAGAGATCTTGCTCGGCACGTTTATCCATCTCTGATGCATCTATGTTTCGAACGAGGGGTCGCGTTTTCGCCGGTGGACTTGTTTTGGCAGACTGCCAACTCAGACGAAGCATGCGAGTTCGAACAACTGCACTACGCGTTGGACGAAGTAGACGACTGCAACTATTTCCTCTTTTGGATCGGAGGCAAGTATGGATGGGTTCCGCCCAGTGAGAGTCTGCATGAAGTGGAAAAGCAAAGATCGTGGCTTTCCGAGCTGAGATTGTCCAGCTTCCATGCGCTCAGTATGGCTGAAATACTTTTCGAGCGAGCCGTCATGTCTAATGTGCAGGCAGCGGGGGGTCGAGTGTTTTTTTACTTCAGAGACAAGAGCTACGGCGATGCTGTCGACGAAAAGCTGCGTCCTCACTTCATTGCGCTGGACTCAGATGAAGACGAGAAACTCGATGCGTTGAGGGAGAGGATGAGGCAAACACATATGCAAGTGCTCGAAGATTACTTCGACCCCATGAACTCTGTTCGTCAGGCGCATGATGACTTGAAGGATGCGATTGTGCGGGACATTCCAGAAGTGAACGATCACATCAAGATTGACTTCATCCGCGACATCAACGCTCATTCGGCTTATTCGCTTTCCCGGAGGCGATCCTATGTCTCAGTCAACGACTGGTATGACGAGATCCACGGCCATCTAGACACGAGGAAGCATCTCACTCACCCCCTCCTCCTCGTCGCTCCACCTGGTGTCGGCAAAACCTCCCTGGTCTCAAACTACGTCTCTGAATTCCGCTCGTACCTTCCTCAAGGTCTGTGGATTTTATATCACGTGGGATGTCACAATGAGAGCAGAAACTATCAGAGAATTTGCTACTTCATCATGAAGTCAATACAGGAGAGATTCCATTTGGAGGAGAAGATCCCCAAGTGTACGACCCCCCAGGAGTGGCAGAAGGAGCTGACGGTTTGGATCAACATGGCAGCCAGCAAAGGAAGGGTCGTGCTGATCATAGACGGCCTAGACCAGGTGGATGATGAATTCGGAAACGCTTTTGACTTGCAGTGGTTGCCAAAATTCTTTCCAGCAGAAGTGAGGACAGTCATTACTTCCTCTCCGGGGGCTGTTTTGGATTCTCTTCTATCTAGAGGTTGGCCGTATTACGAGCTTGGCTTATTCGACAAAGGAAGGGATTGGGTATCGTTGGATCTAGAGACGAGAGCAGAGATTGTGGAGAGATATGTTCTCCACAGAAAGTACAAACCGATGGACCCTGTTACTGTGAACTCCATGCTCGAGCATCACTTGTCTGGCAACATTCTCTTCTTGCTTCAGCTTGCCGACGAGCTGTGCATCCTGGACCAGGCTGGAAGATCAAGCGAAGCAGCAGATTACATGCTTTTGCTACAAGCACAGGATCTGGTTTCGTTCTTTGACTACGTATTGTGGAGATGGGAGCAATACTTTGACGCGCTGCATTCAAACTTTCTTAGAAGAGTTCTATGCATCATCTGGGCCAGTCGTTGGGGTATTGCTGAACAGGAGATTCTGATCATCTTCCAAGACATTTCAAGGATAAGTTTGAATCACTTTTTCTCAACAACTCGAAGTTGTTGGGTTTGGCACAATGGGATGGTGAATTTCTCCCACCAACTCTTGCGGAGTGCTGTGGAATTCCGTTATCTTCCATCAAAGGTGGAGAAATGTGACATGCACAGAAAGATAGCAGGATATCTCCGTACTCTCACGCTTGGACGAAGACGATTGGAGGAGGAAGCCTGGTCTCCATCACCTCATTTCAACTTCATTCACTAACTTGTTTTGTCAGGCAATGGATGAATGGGGAAGCATGGCTCGAACTAATCTCTACCATCAACAATTTCACTGCCTTCCACAAACTCTCGGATGAGAACAACGCGCCCTACTCTCTCGACCTTCGGAGGTTCTATAGATCCGTCGACCTGCACCTGGATGCGGCACACGGCTTGCTCCAAGGGATCAAGAACTTTGAGAAGACCCACCCTGAGCCCTCAGAATTTCTTGAGATTGCTCAGCGGCTCGCAGACTTCTTTGCAAACGTTGGGAGACCCTTGGAGGCGTCAGAGATCTACAAGAAGATGGTGGATCAGCCCAAGGACGTGGTTGAATCCAGCTTGGCGATGCGGATGCGAATCACGGGCCTGCAAGTGTCTCTTGCCAAGTTGTACCGGGCGAGGTGGAACAACGGGGAGAGAGACTTTGCTCTCATGAACACGGCGAGGTCATACCTAGAGCGCGCGTTCAAGAGCTACTCCGACCTTCTCATCGCGGCGGAGGACGTGTATGAGAACGTCAGGGCTCAGAAGGACCTTCCTCAGTCGGAGAAGGATCTTGCAGAGAGTATCCTGCAGGAGACGAGAAGCGAGTGAGAATATCATGAGCAGGGCTTTCTGTTTCCTAACTCTGCTTGCAGTTTCACGGACGTGCTCGGCATCATAGGCCAAGTCTGTGTCAGTCAAGGCGATTACGAGTCTGCAGAGTCCTATCTCTACCAGGGGCTGAAAGCTTGCGAGAGCTTCAACCACTCGAACCATCCGTCGGTCGCCATGATCACTCAAGGCCTCGCTGAGCTCTACTTTCAGAAACGAACCTACGACAAGGCTGAGGCGATGGCTCGGCGGACAGTGATGATCCGGCATATCTGTTATGGCTGGAACCACCCGCAGTACGCCCATGCGCTGGCAACACTTGCTAGCGTCCTCTCGGCCATTGGCAACGAGTATGAGTCAGAGCAGCTCATGAAGCGTCAGGCAAAGATCCTCTTGCTGTATCCCGATGCCGCCACCCACCAAGAGCCTGTGCCCGACCGCACATATGGGAACGAGCTGGAAGGCACAACTCCATGGCAGGGACCAGGGGGCAGCGGCAAAGGCAGAGGGATTCTCAAGTCATCGTCCACCTACGCCATAGCGAAGGAAGCAGAATCTTCTGCATCGCTGAATGCATTGGAGGCGGAAGATTGATGAGCACTTTAAATGTATACATGGACAAGATCTGTAGATAGAATAAACCTGAAGTTAAAGATTCGCCTGGCATCCTATGCTGTCAAGCGTTTGATATAAAGGATAGACGTTGCTCAGCAGCCCCATGGGCTCACTGCATATCTGATACAGCGACAGTCAGCTGCTAGACTTCGCTAAGAATGTCTCACCTGCGGCCATTCTCGTCCATGGTGCTGGTAAAATTCCGCACACGACTTGGTGGAATAGCGGATGATGATGTTATCAGATGATGGGGAAAGGAAAATGCCCTCATCAGACAGAATGAAGTTGGCTCCCTGCAAGCTATGAGCGAGAAATTTCTTGTCAGGATTTCTGTTTTACCTCGACGGAGATGTTTCGAAAGATTCCAGTGTTGATCTGCAAAGGAATCAGGAGGGCTCGTAATGAAGAGCAAAAGCACCGGAATGTTCGATGGAGTTTGCAAAGATGTGAGGTTCAGGTCTTTAGGGAGTAGAGCGGAAAAATCCCTCAAGACATAGCATACATTTGGAAGGCATTGCTGAAGTTCAAACTGGAAGGCATGACTTGCGTGTTACCACCAGACCTATTGGGTAGAAAGAAGATACCTGGCAATCAGTCTCTCCAAACTGGATCAAAATGCGACCGAACTTGTTCTCTCCGTTCAAGGGGAGCACAGAGCAAGCTTCATAGGGCTGAAGATCTGCCTGTGAGAACGACGACAGGCTACAACTGCGATCTGTTCTGTATCGTTCTCGAATCAAGCCACCAGTTGCTGCCTCGGAGAAAAGAGCAGAAAAGCTCAAGACGAGCAAGCAGACATGACGTATCGTCATGTGCATGATGATGCTGGTGATGACGAGCCAAGTCTCACTGGCCCGTCAAGTCTGCAACCATCGCCAACGCCCTTGTGCGCATTTTAGCCACTGAAACAAAGTTTACTCAAATCCTGAAGCTAGAGAAAAACGCAGAGTCGCGGTAATTATGCTTCAGTTGCTGCCTTTTTTTGATGAGTAGAAGCATAACGGTTGCCTCAGACTGCCATGTCCTGGTCTTGCTTTCTGCCCCCTTCGCCCTGATCAACTTCCACCACCTCATTCTCGTTCGTCTCTCCACTGCCAGCAGTCTCGGTCAGTCCTGCAAGTCGCATGCTCAACGCCGAGGGTTTCAACTGAATGAAGCTCATCATCCCCGGGGCAGCCGCTTCCTTACCTACAAAGCTGATGCAGTTCTCCCCCTGACTGCAGTGACTCGCCGTAAATCGAGTGACTTGTTCAATCTCTTAGTGTGAGAATGGCCAACATCGATCCTCGCGCTAAAAACACTGTTGATGTACATAATGCAAACGATGATCCAGAGGTCATCAGGATTCAAGCTGATCTCGAGTTGGTATGTTATCTTTGTTGTATACCTTTCCAGATCAGAATCTCCTCGCGTTTCTCGCTCTTTTGTTCTTCCTTGATCCAATTTCTTCATCTGCGATGCACTCAGAAGCATTCTTCTTAATCTGTGATGCAATCAGGAGGATTCTTCTCCGGAAAGGATGAGGCTGATGAGGAGGCAGCTCATCGATGGTGTATGTGACTGTGACAGTTGTCGCCGTCGGAGGTTGTGGATCGCAGTCAGGCGCGCCCACAAGATTGCTGCTGAACTGCAGCAGGTGATGAGCAGCCACGGCTCCCCTGTCGATGTTGAGATCCAGACCCTGACCTGCATGCCAGATGGAGGAGTTGGATGAGATGGTGAAGAGAGCGTACCAAGGCAACTCGAATGCGGTTGTAGACATGATAGAGAAGTATGAGTTTGCTGCACTGGAACATCAGGGGGGACCGATCATGGTGTGAAAAAGTTGTTCCTGCAAGGGATGTGTCTCATGGAATCATGAAACAGATCACGGGGTGTGCAGTCTGCGAGAAACTCACTCAAGATGAAAAATGTTATCATTGCGGTCGTGAGCCATGGATGATGACGATGAAGAACTTTGTGAGATGCCTGATATATTGTCTATGATCTCTGAAATTTGTCAAACACCGTACAGATCAAATCACGGAAAGATTTGAGCAAATTTCCCAGGCAAACTCCTTTGGCAGAGGACAACATCCTGGTTGTAATTGAAATGACACTTGGTGGCAGATATATTTGTTTGCCTGTGTTACATGCAGCGGCATGGGGCGGGAGCTATGATCTCGTAGAAAAGATCTTGAAGTATGACTGCGACGTGAATCAGCAAGATGCAAGCAACTCTCTGCACGTTCGTTCCAGCTGCTGACGATGGTCGTGACAGATGATGGGGTGCGTTGCACTCCATTGGGTGACTTGCAATGGTCACACGGCGGCGAGCAAACAAAAGCAATATATGTCAACCGCTGAGCTGCTTCTCAAGTCTGGGGCGGATGTGACGATTCCAGATAACGGCGACAAAACTCCAATCGAACTGACGCTTTCACCTTGCCCCGTTGTAAGATGCTGACAGAGCATGCAATACGCGATTTGACTTTGTTGTACAGTTTAATGACATGAGATTGACGATCTTGAAGCATAAGAAGAAGATTCTGAACGAGAATCTTTTGCAATACTGCCAGGTCAGAAGATTTGCTGAATGAAAGGTTGTAGGTGAATGAGATACCATTGATCTATTACAGGAAGGGAATGCTGACCTGGCGATGAGGATGCACAGAGCTGGAGCAGATCTGGGGTGTGGGGACTGGCTGAATGATACTCCATTGCATGTTTCTGTTACCTTCGGACATATCGTGTTGGTATGTGGGAGAGGCAAATTCTCGGGAGACTGATTTGCTCGTGGTGCAGGTAGAGCGATTGTTGGAGGCTGGAAAGATAGAGAGAAGATTGTTAAGCTTGCTGGACGCAAGGAGCGTTGATGGCTTGACTCCCATTGATACAGCACACAAATGGGGGTGACGCAAGGTCTGCAACTTCTCTTGAACTCACATCATGTTCAGATACCGTCGGATTGCTAGCATTTTACAGCGAGAGCGTCAAGAGCAAGTTCTCAAGGACATGGTTTCTCGCATCACGCAAGATGGGACGACGACTATCAATGCCAAAATCCCACCAGAACTTCGAGGAACGTTGCTAGGGCATCAGGTCATGACTGATTCTCATGCACCTCGATTGAAGTTTTATTTAGGTTGCCAAACAACTGAAACAACAACAAAGCCGTCAGAAGAGAATGGTTGGCAATGAACTCTTGGACAAGGTTCAGAGCACTTACGCTGAGCAGGTCAAACTCCTACGTTTGGAGCAAAGGATGAACAAGAAAGGGAGTATTGAGAAGAAGCCACTGGAGATCCAGAACAAGAGCAGCCAGCTCTGTGTAATCGCATGAGGAACAAATCACATCTGGTTCATCGAATTCTTTATTACGTGTGTTAATCATCCTTTCAAATTGACATCTTTCATCGATATAATCTGTGTAGAACAGGAACGCAAGGGGAGGGGAAGGGGAAGGGGAAGGGTATGAAGGAAGAGTGAAAGGGAAAGGGTTTTAAAGGCATCAAACTATGATGGACACTGAATTTCGATGGGAAGAGCGAGGAAATCAAGATCGCAGCCTTCATCCGGTGTCATGGGAATGCACTCAACCTTCGGGGTCTTCTGTGTAAAGATAGTTCGCCGTCTGCCATTTTCGGTCAACAGGAATCGAGCTGTTTTTCCACATGCGCTCTTGAAAGGATCATATGAAATGTTGTTCAGCTTCTTCTTCAGTCCTACAGTGTTGTTCAAGAGCTCCCACTTGTTGTGAAAGGAATACAGTTTGGTCCTCATTGCATGCCTGTTCTTGGGTCTCCTCTCAAGCAAACTTGGGCATTCTTGTGAATCATCTGAACTTGAGTAGGATGAGGAGCTTGAGTAGCTGAACTCGTGATCAACTTGTAAAGAAGCAATATCCTTTAGGAGGTCTTCCACATTTTCCAGGCCCTCTTCATGCAATCCTTTGGTTGACTTCATGGATCCATAGTTGATTTGAGTTTTCATATCCTGAATGTCTTGTGCGAAAATCGTTTCGAAGGGCCTGGGATCTCTTTATGGATTAACACCGAGTTCCTCAGGCTTTATCGTAAGATGCTATTTGTATCTGAATAGAATCGCCCTATTCCTTGTCACGAAGGGCTCAATGGATGGGAACGATTACCAGGCGGAATCTGGCAAAGGATTCGGAACAGTCTGGAAGATTGTCTACGCACGCAAGCCGAGAAGCAGATTCGTAATCAAAGTGCGAGTATGGAAGCTTGATTGAGGGGCAGGGAGGAAGAGGCTACTGTTCTTGTAGTGATGTACGGGGAAGGGAGTGCTTGTATGAGAGGACAGGGCTTGTATATTGAGAGGAAGGGGGGGATTGCAAGGGATGGTTTAAGAGGGAGTCGGTGGAGATTTATGCAGATACCGAAAAGATAGTCTTTCACTTTCTGTACATTTCGAATAAGATATATTTCGAAAATGATGACACAGTGACTCCTAAATCGTTTTAAGAGTTTTGTGATTCAACCGAAAGAAAACTTTTCGGTACTGATTAGCGCCCTACCCCTTGCCGAACCTGCATGGTTTTCGACCCTGTAATGGCTACGCATGAAAGCTGAAAGCCATATTCAGAATCAAACTTATGTACATAATTCCGATATATCAGGAGACAATTTGACAAAATTCACATGTAAATTCCGCCAACCTGGATTGTGCCTGCCTAGATTTTTCGCCCTGGACCCCCCGTTCTTTTAAAACTCTGTCCGCAAAAAAGGGGGGGTTGAAGCTTTATAACACTAGTGACCCGTGAAACTAGTAGGAAGATCCTCGAAGAGGATGAAACATTGTGGACCGGTACTGTCATCTTCTTAGTACCCCATGATACCCCAAGGGGGTAGATTTGAATGTCACAGAACCTCTGGGGGCTCACCATACAAAGTTTATAACATATTAGGGAGATCTTCATATGATCGAAGATTGCATCGATTCGAAAGCGAAAAATCTCTCCACCAACGATTTTCTTCGAAAACAATTGTTTTCGTTTTATTTTATCCACCCCTTAGAGCGAAAGAGCCCTGTTTTGGTTTGTAAAGGCACAATGATTACCACCCGGTCACATCTATGACCTTTCGTCTAGAATGTTCTCGTCAAAATTTAACTAAAAGTTTAGAAGCAGTCGCTGACTCGACTGTTTGCAAGACTCGAGAGTCGCTACGGCCGTAAACGCACCCTCTGAGTCGAAGTATACTCTTTTTACTCAAAGTTAAGTTAAAAATCAGTAAGAGGACAATCAGGAGACTAGAGGAGCGGCTCAGCTTGACCGTCGCACAGCGGCCGCCGGCCCGGCCTGGTACCGTGTGTGCCGCCGGCCGGGCCGCCCGGCGGGCCGGGCCGACCGGACCGACTGCTGCGGCCACTGAGTGTCGGACCGTTCGGAGTAGGCACCTCACTAAGCACTGCACAGCTGCCGTTGGAGCACACAACGGGTACGGTAGCAACGGCGAGGGACGCCTGCCGCCTGCACGCGGAATAAGAGTGAGATCATATTGGCATGCACACGCCTGGTTGCCTCAGTATGGCTCACTGCTCACAGTTGATCACACCAGCAGGAAAGTCAGTCGGACAATTATCATGGTTATCATCATGAGCCTGAAAAGATTTGACCGACGGTAGAATCAGAGATCAATTCAACACCCTGGCTCTGAAATGGTTGCAGAGTAGAATCGTTTCTTCAATTTAATGATTGAGTAACCTGCCCGTACAACTTCATATCTTGATTTTCTAGGCCAGCATGGGAAACATTGATTTGGACGTTGTAAAGAATGCCCCGTCATGGTCAGAGGGCATCAGAAGGTATCAAGAACAGAAACGAGAGCATCCAGCAGGAGGAGAGACGCGCAAACCGCAGTATATCACAAAGTTTTTAATGTCAAGGCAGGAAGCAATGGTGAATCCAATCACACAGAAATTCAATGACGATCAAACCGAACAAGTTGTCAAGCGAATGGAAGAGACCTCCATTGCAAAGACATTGAACAGAGCTTGGGACACACAACTTTTTCGTGAACAACATTTCGATATTGTCACGCAAGCAGCCAAACGTGGTCACATACATGAAAAAGTATACAAGCAAATCTTGAAACCTCCATCACTGGTTACTGCTACACACACGGACTATAATATCATCAGTGGCAAAGGATTTCATGAGCATCACTGGGCACCGCTTGACAGGAGGCCTCCGAGACCAGCTTCACCGCAAAAGAAACAGCAGTTCTTAACTGCGCTCAATCGTCCGCGCGAATACGATATTTTGACAAACCAATACACCAAAAATCATGAAGAGAGAGCAAAGTGGGAAATGGACCGTAATAGAGAAGAAATTGTGCAGAAGTATTGGGAAACAAGAAACTTCGATGCAGTTACGTGTTCATTTTACGACAAGGATAAAGAAGCTGCCTTCCAAGAGCACATGAAGGATAAACATTTGAATCAAGGATCGAGTGCAATCAACAAACTCCCTCCTACTCTGGCTGCAAGTGAAAGTTTGATGTATGACATCTGCACTGGTGTTGTAAGAGATCCTGTGCGACTCCAACAGATAATTGATGCTGACAATTCCATCCTCCACGCTCGGGCAGGGAAGATAGAAAAAGAGAAGTCTCTTAGGGTGAGTCATGCTCTGTCTTGTTCCTGTTTTTTAACATCAGTTTGTGCTTGCAGGAAAAATCGATTCAGAAAAACCAATTGTTTCTAGACCGCAAGCTTGCAAGGATCGCACATGAAAGATATGCCAAGACAGTGGCGAGGGGGTATGATATAGTCAACCTTGCAGATTACGACACCGTGGGGCATCCTCCGTTTCCGCAAACCAAAGCAAGAAAATCTCTATGGGAATTTCACGAGTCCCTAAGGAATGAAACAGCACGGACGCCTGAGCCACATTGGAATAACAGTTTCCAAAGTGTTGAATCGACCAACGCGGGCAATCAAAGAACTTCAACCATTCCAAGCCGTCTCGACTTGTCTGCATTAGATAGCAGGAAATCAAAACCGCAGACCGCGCAGAGTGCCAGTCACGGCGGAACAGACCGAACTCGATCGACTTCACGGGCTTCTAGTTTATCGAGCCTGAGGGTGAGGAGTGGCGGATTCAACAGAGATTGAAAGCTAGTTAAAATCATGACCAATCAGTAAGAGCTTTATATCTGTGCGTCTGAAGAAACGCCACCTCTATCACTCGTTCATCCCTGACTCCCGCATTGTTCACTTCAGCTGCGCGATGTCGACAGTTCGTCTGACAGACTCTTCATCAGCGATAGTGGGCTATCTCTATTTGCAATTGAATCTCGACGGGGGGGGGTGAGGGTAGGGTGATTCAAGAAGGGGTTCATTTACATGGTTTGAATGACTAAAATAGGGTACTATAACACCAGTTTGGCTCTGATATGGGGTGGGGTAGTCAGCAGGCGTGAGAGGATCGCATAAGAATGCTGGGTGGGGGGAGCAAAGAAACATTAGATTGCAAGACAAAGATGCTGTAAGGTCAGGTGCTCAGATACTAGAAACATGTTAAACTGGACCAAGTCCACAGGCAGGATTAGCCTCTGATCCTATAGTGCTTGAGAAAGTGTAAATCAAATCCAGTGCTTGTTCAAGAATTGAGCTGATTGATGAAGTTTGTGAAATTCTTCCATCTTCCGAATGTCCTGACATGCTTTTATCAGGGGGTTGATCTTTTCAATATTGTATGCGGTCTTTTCGCTTTTGGTCCCTGGCAAGATCGCACTGGACGGCTGGCAGACTTCCCGCCGTCCTTTCCAGAACGTTGCTCCCGCCTTCTAACCTTGGATTGCGAGCACCAAATGATCCATCGTTGTCACGCCCTTTGTTGGGCTCCTTCCCATCATTGCCTGCTATCAGACTGAACAATGTGCAGTGCCTGAACGCGATGTCTGTAGCTTCAAATCTATGCATGTCGCTTGTGGGGATGACTGCTCGTTCAATGCTCCTACCGATCTCAATTCATCTTCAGGTGAATGCTACATGCCTTCTCTATCATCTTTCTTTGTTCATTTTTTCCTCCAGAACGGATTCCAAGTTCGTTGGTCTCGTGCTACCAAAAACCCCAAGTGGTGGAAGACCAAGCCTGGTCTGGGCAAACCAGGAGGCAAAAAGCTCAAGACACACAAAGGAGCGAAGAAGAGATTCATTGTCACTAGGATGGGAAAAGTTGGTTACATGCCCAGTGGCAAACAACATCTCAACTACAGTATGAGCTCAAGAAAGAGAGCAAAGCTGAGGCAGCGAAGGTACCTCAACCCTACGCAGGCGAAAATTATTCGCAAGCTCTTGCTCATGGACCGTCGGCCAAGAAACATTCGTGTGCTGCAGGCTGAGCCCCTGAAGCTCCGCGAAGCTCCTCTGAGTGATGAAGAGTGGGAGGCCATGAAAGTGCAAATCGCAAAGAAATCAAAGTCGAAATGTTAGGTCGCAGCAAACACAGCGATAACGAGGCGAGTAAAGATGCAGTCATTCTGACATGATGAATGGGCTCGTGAGTTAGGAAGCCGGGTTGTTGGACGTGGGACGAGTGGCTGCACATGAGCGGTAGCCCGCCGGCCGCCGCCGCGGCGCATCACTGAGTTCGTCATGCCAGGATCAGAGGCGAGTCACCCCGATCGATCGACCGGTCACAGAGTCAAGGAGGCTCGACCGTCCGTCCGAAGTTCGGCAGACTTGAGTCACCGCCGGTCAGCTCAGCCTGAGCTCAACGGTTGCCGGCTGCCGGCCCGCGCGTGGCGTGGCGCCCGGCCGCGCCGCCGCCGACCGGACCGGCGGGCCGCGTGAGTCAATCAGCCTGGCAGTGTACGACTGTATATTTGACTCATAAAAGGCCGGAGCAATTTATTGCTGCCCTTCTTCATTTTGATATCTGTATCCTGGAGCGAGCTGGTGACTCCATATAATATAGATAGCGCACCATGGCGGGGGTTGGCGAAGCAGTGGACGAGGCGCTGATGGCTTACCTCAAGGATGTGGATGAGTATCAGACGAGCATGGCAGAGGTGGTTGCTGCGTGTAAGGCTGGGATGTTGGAACTTGCAAGAGCGAGAAAGAGCATGGGGTTCAAAGGATGTGCTGTGTCGCAACTCCAGTACCCCAGCCGAATGAAAGCTTCTAGGAAAGTCGTCGTCAAGGATGAGAATGAAGGAGAGGGCATACTAGCAAACAGTGATAATGATCAATTTTGTGATGGGAAAAGAATCTTTGTCGAGGCAATAGAATCCATTCCTGAGCAGACGGAGGACGAAGACCCTGTCTTTGTGGATCCTATCAAATGGTTTGGGGTCCTGGTGCCAAGCAGCTTGAGAGTATCACAGAAAGGTTTTGTCAGAGCTGTAGAGGTAAGACTTGAGTCTGAAAACTCATTTGTCATCTAATAGCCTGAACTGTGACAGAGCGCAGCCGCAGCTTCTGCTGCGTACATCAACATGAAGAGGGATTATGCGAGGTACAAGCGGATGGTTGCGAACAAGTGTGAAGATTCCTGCAGGTTTCGTCATCTCCTCAGCAGCAAAAAGAAAATCACAGAATAATAGTCCAGAGAGCAGGAGAAGAATGTAAAGTAATGCTACATAGGCGTTGTTTGGATCTCTCCACGGCACCATTGTGCCTCCGTTGTCTCGCAATGTTATTTATTTCATTGAGAATTCAAAAGGAAAATACATCTAAGAATCAGAAACATTACATTCATATATACAACAAAATTTGAAGATCAGCCAACATTCTCCAGCGGACAGAAGACGTGATAAATGTAAAGACGTGATAAATGCAGCTAAGCACGTGAGCGTAAAACAATCATCAAATAACGAAAACACGGCAGATGTTGGGGAGACAGGCAGCAGGCAGAGAGATCGAGAAAAAAAGACAGAGATGTAAAGATAGGAATCGCAGAGACGACAGGCAGACAGTCGAAGGCAGCTTTCACTGTTTCCTTGACTTGAGGTTTGCTGTCGAGAACGCATCACGTTCCACCATCATATCGTTTCTCCTGAGCAAAACATCATGAACAACAAGTTGACAATCTCAACTCACATCCTCCACTCGAAGCGCGCTTTCACGCTCGGGATGCTCACCCTGCGCAAAGTTAACAGGGGAGAAAGGAACGGAAAAGCAGGCAACTAGGAAGGGGAAGAGGTTTGGAAGCGCGGCAGGGAGCGGAAGATTCTTGCCTATTGTCAAAGGATGGGAGAGAGTTGATGACGTCATCCTGCTTCTGAACTCGAGAGTGGTGCAGCCGCCAGATGCTCTCCCCGCTGTTTGTTTGCGCCCTCCCCTCGATCTGAATCCTCTGCTCGTCCCTGTTGTACCGTTCCAGCCGCTTCCTCCATCGCGGAGAGTGGATCTGTCGGAAACTGCTGGTGTTGTCGTTCACGTCGAACGGATAATTCACGTTTTCACGTCTCTTCCTGAAAGACTCCAGCTGCAAGCAAAGGATTCTCAGTGAAAGAGAGTTGACATGTCAGAATTTCCGAACTCACCTTCATGAACTCCAGCATGAAGCCGTAATCCACCCATCCCTGTCTGCCATCATCCAGGAGCTTCCAAAACTCCTCAAACGTCTCGTCGTAGGAGGGAACTTTCTGATGTACTCCCGCGAGCTTGAAGTGAAGGTTTAGATCGCTCTTGGAGATTCTGCCAACCATACGTGTGAGAACAAATAGACGTTGGAGCAAGGAAGGTGGGACCTTGACGCAAACTGGTTGGATGTGGAGAAGAAGAATCGTTGAGCAACAAGTGCCAGCGTCTTGCAGTTGGAGCTCAGACCAGCAGGAAGATCGGGCAAGTCGAAGTCAAACTTCTGGCTTCTGTCGTGCGAAGAATGCTCACGGGATCTTGATCCTGCCGGCGTCATCCTTATCTCCCTCGAATCCTCGTCATGCCTTAGCGGCACCGAGTGCTCTGAGCTCTGCTCATTGGACCTCGGAGTGATCTGATGAATCGGATGCTCGGGAGTGGAAGGGAAGAAAGGAGACCTGCCCAGAGAGAAGTGCCCGCCGTCAGGATAGTTTGTCCTCATACCCATGTCCGGTGCATAGACCCCCCCGCGCATCCTGATGGAGGACGAGTCCTCGTTACCGATCTGCTTCCTCTCCACCAGCAATTGGTCGTAGTGACTCCCTCTGCTCTGCTCAGATCGCTGCTGATGCTCAGTCATCACTTGAGCTCGAGAGCCCCAGCCAACGACGACGTGCGATGAGGTGGAGGACTCTTTGGCGCTGCTCAGCGCTGCTGATGAGCTAGATCTTGAAGCTTGCCGATCATCCGGGCTGGGGTAGGATGAAGAATTCTTTGCGTTGGGCGATTGTTCCGGTGCTGTTTGCGGAGAAGTTTGGAGCTGCATGTAGCTGCCCTGCAGGATCGGGTTGTATTTGCGGGAGTTGTAAACTTTTGAATCAGACGAAGACGAGCTTGATCGCACAGACAGGAAGTCAGGCCTGTTGATGGTCAAGTCTCGGCCCTTCATCCAAGGAGACGACATGCTGATCTCTGTCTGCGGCCAGTCTCCTTCACAGGTTCATCACCGCCTGCAACTGTGAGTCAACGCAAATTCAACTTCACCACTTGATGGAAAGAAGACAACAGCATTCAGAGGGAGTGCATGAAGAGCCAGGGCGGCACAAGAGTATGAGATCATCACGAGCATGGCGGCTGGTCAGCATATCAACACAAAGCAGTGCGGACGGGGCGGCTGGTATGCAGCGACAGCCGCGGCATAGCCAGGACAGTTAGTTTTGCTGCCTTTCGAATCTCCTATTTCCGAGGGTATTGAAGGAGCAGAAAAAGGTGCTGCCCTCCAAGGAGGGCGGGTACAAGAGGGGGGCGATGAAGATGGGACGACGATGGGCAGGGACGGCGATGCTATGGCTGCATTGGAACATAGCAGGTGAGAGAAGCAGCGAGCAAGAAGAACGTTTCTGACATGCCGGCTGCTTGCAGGACTGACTCACTCCGAGTGCTATGTGCATCAGGCCAGCTGCTTCGTATCTTCAGGAGTAGCGACCTGTGCCGGGCGATCAAAGTTTGTCAGCCTCAATCCGAAGCTCTCAGGAGGAGGATCACTATACCTACAGAAGGTGAAGGGGCTCGGATGCAGCCAGTCAAGAGCGTCTTGTCGGGGTCTCTTAGTCTTGTCCCTTGCTCTCAGCTCGAACGAGACCGACTCTGTCCTGTTGGCTCCTCAGAACGAGGGCATACAGCAAGCTAAGAGCCGATCCCCTGAGTCATGGCCTAGTGGAGGAAAGAAACCGCTGTTCCGAGCGAGACGTCGGAAGAGCCAACGGCAAGAGATTCCCAAGTATGGCAAAGCGATGATCGTATCGCCCTCGCAAGAGGCAACGGGAGTAGTCATCTGGCTTGATGGACTCGACTATGGTGATGGGCCAGCGAGGTGGTCAAAGCGTCTCAAAAGGCTGGGTCTGGACTGGTGTAGACTTGTCTTGCCGTCGGGCTACGTGGAAGGAGAGGAGAAGAAGAGTTTCTGGAAGCGGGAGCGAAGAGCATGGTTCGACGAGACCAGTGACGAAGGCCTGTATTCAACCTTGCAGTACATTCAAACGTTGGTTTCGGTTGAGATGAAGAAAGGAATCCCCTCAGATCGCATCATGATCGGCGGGTTGGGACAAGGAGCCACGGTCGCCATGCTGGCCGGCATGCTGCTGTCTGCGAGGCTAGCTGGGGTCATTTGTATTGGAGGGCAAATACCTGAGACGATCGCGGGCCTTCCATCAGCAGAGTCTTTCTCCACTCCATTCTTCTTCTTCCGCTCCCCCGATGACTTTCTAGCGCAAGAAGCCTATGAAACTCTGAGTCACCTGGGAATGAGAACTGAGGTTTTCCCTCCCGACTTCCAAACGGGCGGCTTCCGAATGAGCTTGTCGCGGTGGACCCGGCGGTGGAGGCCCTGGGGGTCGAGATGCCGAGAGGCTGTCGAGGACTTCGTGCTGAGAGCGCTTCCTGAAGATGTTGAGGCCATCCCAGAGATTGACCTGATGCTGCAAGACGGGAAGGCAAGGGCAGGATCAGGTTCCAACCAAGGGATTGGTCTTGCTCGGTTCCAGCGCTTTGTTCCTCTGTGGCAACTGCGCCCAGCAGACATCAAAGACATGTCTCTGGTAGAGGTCCAGGTAGTCTGCAACTTGTTGAGCTGTGAGATGCGTGAGTGCTTGTCCTAGGTGTGCATGCAGTACCATGGGATACGGTACGATGATGTCAGCAATGAGCGCGAAGCACGGGAAAGGCTGTTTGCAGCTGCAAAACTTGCTGGCATGAAGAGAAACAATGCAAGGGCTGAGAAAGATTTCTCGGGTATTTTTCCCTATCCCAAATTTCCCTGTCAGTGATGTACTTGGTTCAGTTGGAACTGACGGGTATGATGACGGGGAGGCCGAGGGGTATCAAGACCCCTCTCGGGTAGTTCAGAACATCGCAGATCGAGCATGGTTTATGGGCAAGGACATCGCTCAAGGTCTCGGATCTGCGGTGCAGGACGAGGAGATCCGTCGCGACATCTTTCAGAAGGCGTGGAACGCAGGAGCGACAGCCGCAAAGTTTGCCACAGAAGCAGCAACTGATGAGGATGCGAGATCGAGGGTGAGAACCCAGCTCCCGCCGACCTCTAGTGACTGAGTGACAGGCAGCGGAGTCTTTCGTGAGAGCTGGGAAGTCAGCTGCGGACTACGCACGTGCTAGCTTCTCCAACCCCGAGGCGGCAAGGAAGATCGCTGAGACGGCGTGGGAGGCAGGACGAGCTGCGGCTGATTACGTGCAGACAACAGGGAGAGATGTAGAGCTCCATGATGACGTGACTTGTTGTCTCATGTTCTTTCAGGACAACGTCTCCTTCCTCTCAGCAGAGGAATGGTATGACCGATACAATCGCACAGGGTCTGCTGATGTGGTAACACTTGATGTTCCCCGATCTGGTTGAGTGACAAGTTTCTTTCCTTCTTCGCAGTATGGAGAGTCCGTCGACTACTCCCTCGAGGAGGAGCGACAGCCTCGAGGAGTACAAGAAAACATCTACTACAAAGACGACCCGCTTGGCACTGACGATTACCGCACTGCCGTCGACTCCGCCGCGATGGGCATCGGAGATGCAGCGAGGAAAGGCGTAGGATGGATCAACAGCATCTTCCAGGACCCTTCAGACTTGCCGGGTGCTGGTCGAGGCTTCGATCAGCAGCAAATCCCTCGGCAGCCTCCGCCCCGTCCTTATCAACCCCCCCGAACTGTTACCTATCCTACTCAGAGTTATTCCACTCCGGACAGCACGCAATTCAGCTTCCGTCAAGACCCCGTCTCTTCCTCCATTCGCACGGACATAGCAGCATCTGGCAGCCGATCCTGGCCTCGTCCAGCGCCTGATCCCTTGCAGGAGCGCAAGTCTGGGGACCAGGCGATACCAGGATCTGGGCCCTTGCTCTGCTTCAACTTTAAGATCTTTGGTATGATTGAGCAGCGGAGTTTCGGGGCTGCTATCGCGTACAAGGTGTGTTCCCTTTCCTCATTCTGCAGCTACGTGGTGAAGCGAGTCTGCAGGCAAGCGAGCTAGGAATCAGCGGGTCATGCACCATGACAGGAGGGGAGGTGGAAGGGAAGGTGGAAGGGAAGGTGAGCTCGAACTCTCCTTTGCTCCTCCCTGTCTCATGCAAATTTTTCAGTTTGAGCAGGCGGAGAAGTTCATCCAGTGGCTGTGCTCCGTCGGAGCTCCAGGGAGCGTGATAGAGGGAGCAATCATTGAGAACCAAACTCGGGGAGAACAACGCCAATTTCAAAGCTTCGATCTCTCAAACTCTTGAGAATAAAACCAACTCCAATCAACCATCTAGCCTCGTCTCCGTTGCTATCCTAGTTGATCCTTGCAAGATCGTCCAACTTTCCCCTCCACACGGCAACTCCCTCGGGTGTCGTCCCTTCCCCGAAGATGAGCTTCGTGAGATCTATGAACTCGTGGGGGGTCAGGGACTCCGGGCGTCGAGTCCCCAGCTCCTCGGGGAGGACGATCCCTCTCTCCGTCACAAGGGCCTTGAGGCTCTGCAGGATGGACGGTACTTCAGTACAAGAAAAACGAACAGCATCAGATCCTACCTGTCTCAGCATCTTCCTTCGCATCTGGAAGGCGGACCGGAGCACCGTCCGGAGGTTGCACTCGTTGATCCCAAAGGAAGGACGCTCCTTGGGGAAATCAATGACGACAAGAGCCGAGTCAACGTCGGGCTGGGGCTGAAAGACGTTGGGGGGGATCTTGAAGGCGATCTTGGGGGTGCCGTAAAGCTGAGACACTACGCTAAGGATCCCGTAGGGCTTGCACCTCGGCTCCGAGACCACTCGCTGGGCTACTTCCCACTGCATCGTCAGCACGGCTCTGCGGATGTGCGGAGCAGCATCGAGGATGGAGAACAAGATCTGAGAGACGATGTAGTAGGGCAGATTGCCGATGACAGAGATTTGGTCTCCCGCCGCCCGATTGGCCGACAGTTCCTTCCAGTCAACATCTAGGACCGAAGAATGAATGACGGAGAGTTCAGGTAGCTGTCCTGAGAGGTACTGCACCGACCGCTGATCTATCTCTATCGCTGTCATCTTTGGGTAATGCTGCAGCAGCATTGCTGTCAGCGCTCCCTTGCCAGGCCCCACCTCGACGACACTTCGCCCATCCTCGCTCTTATCCTGCAAAGACTCTACAATGCGTCTAGCAACATTCATATCCACCAAGAAGTTCTGACCCAGTGATTGTTTGGCCTTGTAAACACTTGCAGACTGACTTGGTGTCTTGAATTTCTTCGAGGTCGACTCGCTTTCGATGTCGCTCCCTTGCATGGTCGTCAGGAACGCCAACGAGGTCCTTCGAGCAGTGACTCTCGGGATATTTCGCATGAGCAGACCAGGGATCCTCATGAGAGGAGGGGACAAGAGCTTAGAGGGAGACATACAGGATACGAATGCGGGGCCGGCCGTGTTCCGATTGCAAGAGCAAGCGCTTGAGGTGTGAGCCAGCAGCGAGGACGAGGCGGTGGCGGGAGGGAGCAGGAGAAGGGAGAGGAGGAGAGAGGAGGTGGTCGTCACGAGAAAGGAGCGGAGGAACGGATGCCTGCCTGCCCCTTTCGTTGCTCTGCCAGCGCCTTCACTCGACATGCGGGAGGGGCCGCATTGACGTCTAGCAGAGCGGAGGCTAACGCTTTGTTTTACTTAACGTATTTGAGTAATGTTTCTGAGCGTTACAGACAGTTACGATTTTGAGCTTTCGAAACTTGGCGGGAATGGTGGAGGAGCGAGGGAGCAACATGGGAATGGTGGTGACGATCGGCCAGTGAAGAAGGAGACATAGAGAGCTGTCCGCTGAATCCTCCGCCTGCTCTCGGTGGCTGCGCTGCGGGTGCCCAAGGCTGTTTGGGAACGAGCAACGTGGAAAAGATGCAGAGCAAGAACATCAAGGCAATCGATGCCTCGTCTGTGCATCGGATATGCTCGGGACAGGTCATTCTGGATCCATCATCTGCTCTCAAGGAGGTGGTGGAGAATGCAGTTGATGCTGGAGCAACCAAGGTTGATGTCAAGCTGAAAGACTACGGGTTGGAGGTGATCGAGGTGTGCGACAATGGTTCGGGCATCTCTCCGGGAGACTTCGAGCTTCTGGCCTGCAAGCACACAACTTCGAAACTGAGGAGGTTCGACGACCTCAACAGTCTCACCACCTTCGGTTTCCGCGGCGAGGCTCTGAGCTCGCTGTGCGCCATCTGCGAGAAAGTGACGATAACCACGAGAACGGCGAACGAAGTGATCGCCACCAAGTTAGAGTATGACAAGAATGGCAAGCTGCGGGGCTCTTCGACGTGCGCTCGAGAAGTTGGCACTACAGTGACGCTGGATACGATCTTCAAGGCCCTTCCTGTGAGATACAAGGACTTCCAGAAGAACAAGACTCGAGAGTTCCAGAGGCTGACAAGGAGGCTGCAGGCGTACGCGATCATTCACAGTGATGTCCGCATCACTTGTGTCAACCAGACGCCCAAGGGGAAAGCTTCTGTATTCTCAACCCCTGGGAACAACAGCATGTTGGACTGCGTCACCAGCATCTACGGCGCAAAGCAAAAGGACTCTCTGACGGCAATCGAGCTGAGGGGTGAACATGTCACCTGCTCTGGGTACATCTCCAAGGCCAGCTCGGGATGTGGTTTGAGCTCGGGAGACAGGCAGTTTCTTTACCTGAATAAGCGACCTGTCGATATCCCTAAGTTGTCCAAGGCGATCAACGAGGTTTACAAGATGTACAACATGCACCAATATCCCATCTACTTCTTGAACATTCAACTGTCGACAGACACCTATGATGTGAACGTGACCCCCGACAAACGGCAGATCATGTTTCACGATGAGTCTCGACTCATTGAGTTCGTCAAGGAGAACCTTCGGAACCTGTTCGAGCCTTCGCGTAACAACATCCCGTCTGTGCTGCAACATTTGAATAAGAAGAGTGCGAGTAGCAAAGATGTTGAGCAAGATGATGTTGAGCAGGAGGGGGTTGGGGAAAAAGACACAGGAGAACGAGGAGATCGTGAGTCCCAGGAGGAGACGAGGGTGGAGGAGGCCAGGACGGTGGAAGGCGATGCGATCGACCTCCCTGACAGGACAACAAGGCAACCACGGTGTGAAGAAGAGGTGGAGGAAACAAGCGCAAGCAATGAAAGAACTCTGTCGGAGGAGAGGACGGACGATCCAGTACGCAAGGACCCACATGTTGTGAGGGTTGGAGATGATGACAGTGAGGAAGAGGCCAACCAACGGAACTATGTTGACCGGCAGAGTGCCCAAACGCCAACGGTTTCCAAAAGCAAGACCCTCTCCTCCTCCTCCTCCTCCTCCTCCTCCTCTTTCCCATCTTTTCAAAGGACACATTGAGACCGAGCAGCTTTGACAGCGCACAGCGGGGCTCGAAGAAGCAAACGCATCTGCTGCAGAAGGAGATCGAGTTTCCTCGGAAGACATCGCGCCCTGAGAGGATGTTACAGAGGCTGAGGGGTAGCGACGAGCGCCGAGGCGAATCCTCCGACGAACTGGAATCTTCGAGCTCTCGGCGCAGACCCGACGAGACCAGCCGACGAATCTTGCAGCGCAAGGCCGACATGGAGGAGGAGGAGGAGAAGGAGGAGGATGAGTTGGTGACTTTGACTGGTGAGTGTATCCTTGTGATATAGCTGATTGTTGACTGGTGTGTGCAGCCAACAGCGAGTGTAGAACTCCTACATCCGAGGAATGGGCGCAGAGGATCGAGGGAGAGGGCGAAGCGGCGGAGGTGGAGGAGGAGGATGGGGAAGGCAGGAGGGAGGAAGAAACTTCGATGGTAGACGTCGATCAACCGGAGCCGACGGGAGAGACAACGTTGCAGGTTGAGGCAGATTGGGAAGCAGTGAAGCAAAAGCTGCGCAAGGATGCAGAAGAAGGTTCAGAGGCTACGGAGAAACTCAAGAGGGAAGGGCGGAAGAGGAAGAGGAGGAACTACGAGGACGCGGTGACAAACCTGCACGAGCGGGTGATCTCCAAGAGCGACTTCACCCGCATGAAGATACTCGGCCAGTTCAACCTAGGCTTCATCATCGCTCGACTCGACTCCGACCTCTTCATCCTCGACCAGCACGCGTGCGACGAGAAGTACAGGTTCGAGCTCCTGGAGCAGACGACCAGCTTGAAGAGTCAACCTCTCGTCGTGCCCAAGGAGCTTGAGCTGGAGGTCAAGCTCTCTCCTTTCCTTCAGTCTCTTCCTTTCGTACTCACCTTCACCTGATCCTCCTGACATCTGACCTCCTCGCCTCCCCTTCCTTCCTCCCTCGTTCCCATCCTCTCCTCGTTCCCATCCTCTTCCCTTCTCTGTGGTCGTTCGCTCTCACCGTTGCTGCAGGCTGCAGACGAGATGCTCGTCCAGGAGAACCTGGATGTCTTCAGGGCCAACGGCTTCGAGCTCAAGATCGACGAGGAGGCGCCGCCGACGAAGAGGGTGAAGCTGACGTCCATCCCATTCAGCAAGAGCACAGTCTTCGGTCCTGCCGACGTCCATGAGATGCTCTGCTTGATGCGCGAGGACTCGGGCTCTGCCCAAAGGTTCTCCTTCTCCTCCTCCTCCTCCTCCTCCTCCTCCTCCTCCTTCTCCTCCTCCTCCTCCTCCTTCTCCTCCTCCTCTACTCTTTGCACGCCCCCCTTCAAGCTGCTGACGATGCCCTAGACCTTCTCGAGTTCGGGCTATGTTGGCGTCTCGAGCTTGCCACTCGGCTGTGACCATCGGGAAGCATCTGACAAGACAGCAGATGCGAGTCATCGTCGATCACATGAGCAGCATGGAGCAGGTCAGTGCCCGTTCTCTCTGTGTTCGTCCTTCTAAATGTCTCCTTACCGTCCTCTCCTTCCTGCTCCTCCTACCACCTGCTAACGATCTCCTCTTTCTCCCCCCCTCTCCTTTTTTGCGCTTGATTGTTCAACGCTGCAGCCTTGGAACTGTCCGCATGGGAGGCCGACCATGAGACATCTCTTCGACTTGGCGGAGGTGGAGGAGGAGCATGAAAAGTTGATCTACGAGGGTCCAGCTGTTGTGCGATGAAGGGTTGCAAGACGGAAGAAGTCAGACATGGAGCAATAAGGAAGAAAAGTCTTGAGCGGAACAAGAATTCAACTTGCAAGGAGGAGGAGGAGGGGAGGGGACGAGTGGGGTTCCTTTTGAGAGAGTTTTCTTTACAAATCTTGTTGTATCATGATCCCACTGGGCCGACGAACAACAAGAAGGTGCCGTTCAACCCCTAATGCGAGAAGTCAGTCACACCGCGACGCTCGTGGAGTCAGGACAGACTTGTCGTCCAGCTCTCTTCTACACAATCTTTCTTCACCTCCTGTTCTCCTTCTGTTCGCCCGGAGAGCCTTCGTCCTCCTCGTCTGCGCGTTCTCACAAGTCGCATCCACACCAGCACGCCGCCCTCACCTCAGCTCGGCTCGCCGCCTTCTTGCCTTCTCCTCGCTTCGCCTCCACGCGCCCATGGACGGGCAGGTGTGGGTTCAACAGCCCCACGTCCTTCAGTGAGAGTCACTGGCTGGCCACAAGGGCAAGAGGGGAGGAAGGAGGGGAGGGAGGGAGGGGAGGGAGGAGGGGAGGGAGGAGGGGAGGGAGGGAGGGGAGGGAGGAGGGGGGAGGGGAGGGGGGGGAAGGGGAGGGAGGAGGACGGGGGGGAGGGGAGGGGAGACCTGGAAGATGGTGATCGATCGCCTCAAGGCCTCACATGCTTTGATGACCTGCAAAAGGAGTTGAAATACCAGAGCGATGGCAGACCGTATGAAATACCCCACAGCGCTGCTGGCCGCGTCGCTGTCCTGGCTGCTGGCTACGCTGCTGGACCTTCACCTTTCCACTTCTCGTCTGCGCTTCGAAGACATCCACCAGGTGTTGGCCTTGCCAAGATCTATCAGCCATAACAGACAGGAAGAGAAGGCATGTAAGAAGTCACCTTGGAAGTCTACGAACCTGCATCTCCTACAGTAGATGTCTGCTTCCAGAAAGACACTGTAAAGCGTCAACCATGATTCAAGCAAATTGCAAGCTCTCACAAGACAGCTTGCACGAAGGAGAAGGGAAGTCGCAGACAAGAGTCAAGATAGAGCTGCAGCTGACGTGATGCCATCAAGAGGTTGACCATGGGTTCCTGGAGTCTTTACCTCGCACATCCTTCTGTCGAGGAAGCGCCTGCTGTTGTTCAAGAACCACCTGCAGAAAAGAATGAGTCGAGGCCTCCCTCCAACACGAGAGTCGACTTCTTCACTGGGAACTGACAAGTCCGAACGTCATCTTGCGGTTGAGATTTTCTGCGGAGTAAAATCTGTCTTCGAAAGTCACCCAGGACACAGTTGTATAAGGCCAAGGACCTTGAGGTGACCTAGGAACCTGTTGAGGGTGGCAAATTGACTGAACCTCCGCCTTATCTTCCATCTCTCCACCAGCTGACGTGTGACAAGCACAACCTCTACTTCAAAGATCGCTGTCGGCCGTTTTCCTATCCTTTGCCAGCTCCAGCCAAGAATGTCGGCCGTGACAATGAAGGCGTCGGGCGAAATTCGATCCAAGGGACAAGAGGACGTGGGGTCAGAAGAGCGTTCACTGGACATGGCGCTGACTCTCATACTGGCGAACTCTACACTCTGAGGTAGAACGATCCTGGGCAGCGATTGCGAATTCCGGTCGCAAGGTGAAGCATCCCCCGCACATTCTTTCGAAGAGTACGCATCGTCCGACATTGGAGGATCGCAGAAGAATGTAAAGGACGGAGATGAGTGCGAGGAGGAGGAGTGAGATGAGGAGGAGTGCATGGAAGAAGGCGAGGAGGGCGGGCAAGGGTCTCTGCATGACCGCGTGAAGCTGAGCATACGCTGGGGGTCCACATGCGTCATCGATCCCATCGGGCGTGCCATCGTGGTCAGGCCAGGGCTAGGCTGGAAAGCTAACGGAAACAGAGGGTGGGGTAGTTTGTAAATGTCTGGGTGGGGTACTCGAAAGAGTTCAGAAAACCCCAACTATTCCAGGTACATGTACGGGTGTTGGGTTCAATCTCTGGATATCTACCTCGATGGGGTACTCGAATTAGAACCGGTGGCATCTTTTTCCAGGGTGGGGTGGTCTTTTTTTGTTTTGGGGGCCGCAAACCAAGTCCGCCCCAGGAAGAATCGCCGGGGCCGGGCAGCGCTGTCCGTGAACTGAGTGACAGGATATGTGAGGGGATGAGGGGCTTCGCTGGCAATGGCGGGGGTGCCGCGGTTGTTGTTAGCGGAGCATGTGATGTCGGGAAGCTCGGGGGTGGCGCCGGTGATGACGAGGGTGAGTGATAAGAGAGGAACCATGAAGCTTGAGTGATGTCTTGATGGATGCGACGCTGCGTGTGAACCTTGTTGCTGATGAAGTGGGAGAAGTGTCGAACACATTATCTCCCCTCCCGTCCCCTCCACCTCCTCCACTCTCATCGTGCCTGTTGCTGTAGAGATCCCTCACATGTTGATGCCCCGCCTGTCAAGGAAAAATGTGACCATCGTCTTTGCTCTATCCGGATCGTGTGCTGCTTCTTCAAGATTCGATGCTCATGATTCTTCTAATACCAAGGTGGTTGAGTTCATGAGGGGGCGTGGCCCTTTCGGCTGGATGGCAATGGCAGCAGCATGCGCCTGGACCTACCGAGTTGTGACGAAGCCGAACCCCAACCGCATCGATGGTGATCGTCCGCTGACTCGCCATGAGGCTGAAGGCATTGCTCAGGAAAGACCATCTTGTTGACGGGCATCACATCTCGCAGTTGTGCTGCGATATGTCAGGCGTTGGCGTGAGTAGAGCAAGCAGGATGGTGACGGGAGGGTCTGAATCTTGACGTCCAGCAAGAAGGGAGCGACTCTGATCCTGGTAGGCTCCAGCAGCCTCGAAGCGGAACCAATCGTCCGTTCAATCTCAGAGTTGGAGCTGGCTTGTTCCTTACATGTTCGAATCTGCGATCTTAAGAACGGTACTTCGATCATGAAATTCTAATTTGCTGCGAGAAATTTGATTTTTATCTTAGGAAAAGAGATCGAACAGATGGCTTCAGAGATTATCAAGACTCATGGTTTGCCAGACATTGTCATCCATTGCAGCTGCGATCTTCCGAGGACATTAAAATCTTTCCCTTCGACCACTGTGCGTAAAATCTCTAATCTTTCTGTTGAGTTTTCACTTGAATTCAGAACTATGAGATCACGACGTCCATCCAAGATGGGCTTCTCATGCCTATTTTCGTCAGGTGCCCCTTGATCGGCGTCAGTCGTAACTCCGTCTGCCACTGAATCATTGTCTCAACAGTCGAGCTTTCGTGAAGAGCATGGTGCAGCGCAAATCAGGAGCCCTAGTTTTTGTTGAGGTATCTGTTACCCGTGATAAGTTGATCCCTGATCGATTCCTGATCGACCTCCCTCCCAGAACGCACTGTCAAAGGGGGTTTGGAGCGGAGCCGCAACTATGGTAACGACGTCAGTTGGAGTGCGGGGGCTTGCATCGGCTCTCTCAGCAGACGTGCGAGGTTCAGGAGTGCAGATACAGGTCGGGACATGGCATCAGATCATGTGTATCCCTAAGGCTCATGGTCAGGAAATCCTTGTTCCCACCAGAGAGACCGGAGATCATTATGACAGTCAGGTCTCACTTCCTTGAAAATGGAATTTCGGAATGTTTGATTTGCATGTATGCGACAGGATGTGGCCAACTTTGTGATTGGCAGCATCAGGAATCGACTCGATGTCGCAGCTTATGGTAGACCTTGACTTGCTGTGATGGGAACTCTTTCTCATGGTCTGCCCGCTCCACAGGGTTTTGGTATAACTGGTCAATTTGGGATGTGTTGGAAAAAGGGCGATTTAGATTGTTTCAGGTGAAGTCTGCCAAGAAAGCTGCTCTGGGTTGACTTTGTCTGTAGATGTTCGGGTACAGGGCTTCCAGATTTCATGATTTCAGACCAGCGGCTATCTCTAAGAAAGAGGGGATGGGCGAAACCCCCCGGGATTCTCCTCGAAAGATGCCGACGGAAGTAACATCAGCCGCGGGAGAATGGATCAAGAAGGGATCTCCAAACAAGAATAGCGCTAGACCTCCTGTACCCAAGTGAGCCCTGCCCAGTCGTTCTCTTCCTGTCAAGGTGTTTGCCTGACGTGGTGGCGCCTTCACCCAGGGACGCTCTTGTCCAGGACGAGGTGGATAAATCAAAGACCGCATGGAAATCAATTCCGGACGATAACGAAGCTGCTTTGAATCCTGAGCTGCCAAAAGTACTGTTGCTGGTCAGAAGCAAAGGGAAAGACTGACGTTCGTGCAGGTTGGGATAGGAATCATGCTCTCCGAAGAACACAACGGTTTGCAAATTGTTTCCATCAATCCTGGCAGTCCAGGTCTGTGCAAAGGGAAACGAAAGATTATTTACGCCATTTTACAGCTGCTCAGTGCAAGGATCTGTCGTGTGGGGATGTTGTGATTGCCGTCGATGGGATGAAGTAATTTTCCAAACCCTCGAAGTCTGGGTTCCTTGTTGACTTTGTTATGCGTCGCAGTGTCAAAGGAAAATCGTGCCAAGAAGTACTGGATATGATACAAGGCGGTAGTGGCACCACTGTATGCTTGACCACAAGACCTAGCGGGCTCAAGTCGCAACCGAAGCAGGTTTGTTTGCGCCTAGGTCGGTTCTTCATCGTTTGACTCTCATCGAGAAGATCACTCTTCATCGCGGTCACAGCAAAGATTCTGCCTGGATCAACAAGACATGAGCTGCCGCACTCCAAAGCCAGCGTGCCCGGCACGACCGTGGACGGAAAGCCCGCCGGCCCGGGTGATCGGATTGACCGGTGCCCGGGGCATATCGGACTGGCGGCGACAGCCCGGGTGACTCCTCACGTGCCGACTGCCCCGGGAATCGGATAGTAAGGAAAACGGTTAAAACTCTGTTAACTTCGTATTCTCGCTTGCTTCATCCGAATCCTCCAATTCAATTCAAGTGTGGTCAGGGGGGGGCGGTGGTACCATCGGACGTCACCGCGAGCGGGGGGTTTCAAGTCTGACCTCGCAGGGGGAAGTCCAGTGGTGCTGTCACGGACTGCGAGTACAGTCTTAACCTGGCGGCTGAGGAACGCAAGTTGGGTGACCACTGGTGTGAAATACAGAGAAAGGAGGGGTACGGTAGACTGCTCCTTCCACCGGTCCGACCTCTTGGAGTTTACTTTCACCGTCCCCACAGCTCAACGAAGGGTCCAAGGGGGACGTAGTCGATTGAAATCATGTCTCTTCACGGGACATCCAGTCGTAATGCCCCTTTGTTGCTGGATATTGCTGACGGTACCCCCACCCCATCGTTCCCCACTCACTACCCGGATGCTTTATCATACCATCGCCGTGTACGTACATGCAGGACCGGTACTGGTCCACCACACTACCACCTAATGCAGTGATGCTTGATAGCAAAAGCACCGGTGTAATTTCCCTTACACCCCACCCTATGCAACCTGCTGAACCCTAAAAAGAACCAAAAGCCTCTCGCCCCTTTCCCCGCTCCTTGCTGACCGACTGTATTCCTGGCTCTCATCGAAAGCGAATCCCTTGCAGAACGCTCATGGTGAATACAGTCAGTCTTCACGCTCCTGACGTTGGATTCCTCCCACCTGGAGACTTTCGTGAACCTTGGATTTACAGAAATCATCCTGCGAAGCGCAACCGACCAACACAACCCCTGGGCGTCATGCCGGCATCTTCACCTGCTCAGACGCCCGGTGTATGCCAGCCATTTCACTACCCCATCCTTCCGGCAGCTCCACGCCTCCAGGTTGGAGACGTCATATCTCTTCCCTCTTTCACTCATGCAAACAAGCTCCTTGGAAAATGGGCCGTGACACGTAAACATCGAAAACTGAATGCAAACGTCGTCTTCCCCCGGAGAAAAGCTGGACAGATACAGAGAGATAACCCTCCAGTAAACATCACTGTAAGACCCTGCTTGTGGCAAATGATGACATCTGACAACTTGTTTTACAGAGAGAGTTGATCCAAAACTACTATGACCTCCCATTACAAACAGCTGCAGCCAGACTGGGAATCTGCGTCACAGCTCTCAAGAAAGCTTGCAGAAGAGTTGGCATCCCGCGATGGCCTTTCCGAGATCGGAGGTTCGTGAACCAAGCGGGTAAGGTCAGAGGTCGGAAGAGCTCTCCAAGAGCTCAGAAGTTAAGAGAGGCTCGGTCGCTCCTTCAGCATCAAACGAAGACTGTCGAGTCAGCACCTGCGTCAGCACCTGAGACCAAAAAGAAAGAAATGTTCCCCACAGAGTCTCCAAGGTGTGTAGATGCATCCTACGTGACAGAACAGATGGACGTGCATTCTTGCAATACTGTCAGCATGGAAGTTGCCTCCATGACGCAGATAGATTCGTCAGAGATTGAATGTTGCGGCACCGACTCACGAGCTGCAAGGCTATGGGATGCAAACTCAAACGTGACGAATGGCATTTTCTTCGCGTCAGGAGAAGAATTTCTCAGGAATGAATCGAACCTGGATGATATTGGAATCGAAAGCTCATTTCAATCGCTGGAGGATGCATTGGAATCAAATTGTCAACAAGAAAACTGTATACTTCAGCCGACAAGCCCTTGGGAGTGCACCTGGCACAGCCAATCATAATCCATGGGTGATCCTTAGGGTATTCTCAAGATGATTCAAGTGTGAAGCATGTGAGAAGATGTTTCAAACTGTTGCTCAATTGTATGGTGGTCGGAACTTCGGAACTTCAGACTGGAGACTGCCACAAGCCGCTGTCACCTGATCGCTTCAAGTGCAGTTTGAGCTTTTGTCCCGAAGCATCTCTTATTATACAGTCTTGTTCACAAGTCATCCTGGGCAAGTCTATTCTTCTATTTCATGATTGTTGTGGCTGAACTGCCATGGTTGTGGCTGTCTGAGTGACAAAATGCTCGGGCGGCGTGTGGATGATTCAATCACCGATTCTTGGAGCATGATAATCGGACAGTGCCAGTGCTTAACTTTGAGTAAAGCCTTGACTCTCAAGTTTAAACTGCTGTTGATTTGAAAACACAACTGATCATTCGGCCGGCCGGGCCGGGCCGCCACTCGGACCGTACTCTCACTGAGTCGGGCCCCCGGACTCCCGGAGCTGGCCGGCTTTTGAGTAAAGAGCCGCGGTGCGGGCGCGGCACCAAGTTGGGTCGGAACAGACCAAAAGAGTCCCTACCAGTAGGTTTGAAGGAGCAGAAAGCAAGGAGAGCTGTCGTGAGAATCAGCATCAGCCGCTACAAGCACCTGCATCGTCATTCACATCACCACCTATCTGAAACCTGCATCCACATCTGCAATCAGATCTACTTTGGATTTACATCAACATGAAAGAAGCTTTCCTTGCTCCCGATCTTGCTCCGTTACGGATACATTTGCTCAACAGCATTCCCTCGGATGATTCGGAAAGAAGCAATGTAAGCCTTCCGTCTTCTACTCAAGCAGAACCAATCATTCCTCTTTTGATCAGGTGGAAAAGTCTTTGTGCATGGTCAAAGAGGTGTTGGAGACTCTAGTTGAAGCTCTTGGCAGTCACTTCAAAGTACTCGATGCTGCTTCAACGACTGCGAAGCTCGTTGACAGCTTCATGACAGATCCTTGATGCCGCTATTCTCAATGCAGCGACAGCAGACGAAGGGACTTCATCAAGAGCAAGTCAACACAAGTCGCTCACGGTAGGTGGATGAGTTGGAGTCAGGGGTTCAAGTGAACCCGCTGCAGAAAGAAGAGCAAGGAGCATCGCGGTTGATCGAGGACAACTTCAAGCAATACTCACAACGACTGCATGAGATCTCGTCATGGTACTCGCAATTGACTAAAAGGTGATGATGAAACCATGATGTTGATGCGTCATGAACGTTTGAACATGATCACAACAGAATAGAGTCTATCGATGCAAAACTCTGTGAAGAGAGTGAGAATCTGAAAAAGTTGAATGTGAAGATTTTACAGTTCGACGAAACAGGTTCTGTTGCTAATCACTTCGATTGTTTTGACGTGTAGAATCAGTTCGACAAGCTCAGAAAGATATCACAACACAAAACCTTAAGCTCAACAACCTGCAGAACGATTACATCTTCTTCGAGAAAGAAACAATGCCAACGTTGAGCATGCTCCAGGAGCATGTTAACAATCTCAACAATGTTCTTGAGATCGGTATTTTGGGCGCTTTGAATCAAGAAATTTGCTGAAGCTGCTTAAAGGCCATCAATCTTCTCCTTCTATTCAAGTGCAAATGCATAACGAAGCAATCGAGAGGTGAATATGCGTGCCTTTCTAGTGAGAACTTCATGACATCAATGTTATGTAGTACGAGGTTGAAAAACATATCCCAGAGCATCGAAAATCTTACGAAGGACAATCATGGTCAAAGGCACCCTGTTCCTTTCTCCTTTTGTTTTACAGTATCACAGTCATTGAGGAGAAACTCTTGCTTTGGTGCAAAGGATGTGATGAAATTGGAGATTTTATCGAAAGGACAAGAATGTCAAGCGAAAGTGAAGCTACATCCGTGTTGCCTGTCTGCAACAATGACTTTGAAATAGATGTGCATGATCTGCCATCACATGCTTCGCAGTCATCTGATCAAAAATTTTACTTGAAAGACTTCAAGAGTTCTGATCTTGGAAAATGTCTTCATTTTGTCATAGAATCCCTCAACCAAGTTAGCCCAGTCGAAGAGATAATCAATCAATGGGAAGTTTTTCATCAAAGCGTCGAAGATAGAATAGGGCACGCTGTCAAGCATCACATCGACGACTTGCTAATAGTGAGAAATTCCAATCGTGTTTGCTGATTTTGAGAAGCTTTTCCAGGAGTCATTAAATGATCCAGGAAAACGAGCCAACACTATAAAGATCATACATGCGCTCTCAGATGAAGCAGCTTACAGGTCTGAGTGAAGGTGACCTGCCTGTGCGTAACGATGATGCTGCGTAGACACATACTTACGACTCTAGATTTGAAGGTTGATAAACGACATTTTCAAGTAAGGCATCATGGAAGCTGATTGGTTCTCTAAAGCAACTGTTAGATATTTGCTGCAAAGTATAGTGAACAAGTGGAGGCTTTGGCAAGACAAGTTATGAAAACCAATTCGGTATGAGTCTGAAATCAGAGATTGAGAGTCAGGAGGGGCAGCATATATGTTCCCATTGCTGATAGGTATCATGTCGATGCAAACAGAACAACCTTGCAGCATCAGAACGGGACAGTCGTGTCCCACTTCTTTCGATTGGGTCTGCAGGTGTTTCAAATCCTGAACCAGACAGAGGGTGAACACTGAGATGAACAGGCTGGCAAAGAACACAAAGCTCCAGGGAATTGCTGCGGGTCATCCCGCGCCAGCGTGTCAAGAGTGAGGTGTCATACTATCATCAAGTTTTTAGTCACCACATGGTGCAGTAAGTGAGGACGGAGAAGGCGCTCAAAGGTCCTCGAGAATTTTCGTCTGGTCTGCAATGTATTGCTCATCTTGACAACACACAGGGCTTTGACCGGCGGGGCGAAGGTATATGCCAACTATCGACCAAGAACATCGAGATCATGACCTCACAAGGACAACTGTCACAGCATTCTCTTCAGCTTTATATGCGAATAGCATTTGCAAGTTCGGAAAACGACTTCTTTTTCTCATCCTGAATGTAAAATCAACTTTGAAATTCAAAAAAGACACACTGAAACCTGTGCCTGCTTGAGTCTCTCCAGCAACCTTGCTTCTTCATATTCTAGTCGTTGGATTTCCTACAGTGCTATGTCAGTGATTGGAGATCGCTTGGCTAACTCAATGACCTCTTGTCTCTCAAGATGTTTCCGTCGCTCCGCTTGTAGCTTCGATTCATACAGCTGCAATGTTCGCATTTGCGACAGATGTCGATCCTTGTATTTTCGGTGTAGTGCTTCCCTTTCACGTATGTAAATCTCCTTCTTCATCCTGCTTGCTCTCTCTTCGGCTGCTCTCCGATGTTGGGCAGTAGCCTGGAGTTATGAAATCATCAAATCCACATCGAAGAGAGGGAAAGACATGCCTGCGCGTAAATCTCTCGTTCCTTATGAGAATTCTTTACAATGTCTTGCTTCGTACGGACTAATTCCATCTGTTTAGCCTGTTCCAACAACATCACAGAGTGACACAAGTAGCATAATAAAATACTCTAATGTTGGCTATTCGTCTTGCTCTCTCCAACGAATTCTGCTGGGTCTCCTCCCTTAGCCTTTCTGCTTTGCTTTTTCTTGCATGCTCTTTCTCCTGATTCTGGAGGAGTTCAAGCATAAGACCCAATCACAGACAGCCGTTCAAACAAGTATACCCGCAGCTGATTGTGCGCTTTCAGGCGGACGACGTCTTGCACTTTAGCCTTTGCAACAAAAATGGTCTTGTACGTCCTTTCCTCTTCAAATCTCAACCGATTTACACGATTCTTCCTTGCCATGAGCTCTTCGTCGGCCTTCTTCCTTAGTAGTTTTGCATTCAATAGCTCTCGACCCTGACATCGTTGCTCAGCAGGAGATGGTGGTCAGAGAAGATGCTTACCTCCTCTGAAGTCGCCGAGCTGTACAAGTTTCGGGACTGACAGGAGTTAAACGACCTCGAACTGGCCAGTGGGCCTGTCGCAAGAATCTTAGCGATACAAAAACAGCTGCATATGATGAAGAAGCGATCAGCAGTGTTTACCTGTCCACGATGCGGCATCCATGTGCTCTGTAGAATCATGCTTTTCAATGTTGTACCTGCGTGAACTTGGGGAGGGTTGCAGAGTGTCGCGAGGCACTTTGTCTAGGGACTCCAAGGGTGAGCTTGTCTTGTAATCGTAATGTACAAGTTCATCGTCATTGTTCTTCCTCCTGTCGCCATTATGAAGAAAGTTGTCGGGTGTGTACTCGTCATCCTTGCTGCTATCAGCACTTGGGTTGCCCTTCACTTCTCTGTTCACGTGCTCGTTCACTCCAAGATGCACAGTGCTCTTTGCAAGGTGTGCTGCTTGTCCAGCTGTGATGGGCTGATCGCCGTCCTCCTCCTTCCTCCTCTCCTCCTCTTCGGGATGAGCAGAGCTTACCTCCCCCGCCATGCCAGTCTGGCCCTAATCTCTACCCTGGTGTCGTCCTCACATTCCAGTCACTATTATAAAACTGTACTATCAAAATGTTTTATAATACTTGTGATTTGGTATTAAAGTTCCGCTACACTTATAGAATCAGTACGAGTTTTTAAAACATTTAAAACATTTCACTACTGCATAAAGATAACTCAACTTGCCCGTTACAATGATAGCAGTTGAAGCCTCAGGGCCGCACGCCGGGCCGGGCCCCTCATGAGCCGCCGCCGGATTCTCATATCATAGTCTGCACCACCAGGGCGGCGGCCCGCCGTGTCTGCATCATCGCGGCCGCAGGGCCCGCCCTGAGTGGCAACCGGCCGGGCAACCACCGCTCGGACAGGTGCCCCCCGGACTGCCACTGGCCCTCAGCCGACCGTCCGACGAGCGGCGGCCCCGCTGCAGCGGCCGCCGTGACTGTCAGTGGCCAGTGCGGCCGTTGAACCGTCCGATACGGTCGTGTGCGGCCCGGCGCCGGGCCCTGAGCCGGGCCGGGCCCCTGCCCCGTATTAAACCAAACAAGTGATATAGTCAATAAATAAGGCCAAGTTTGACTATAAAGCTTTAAGTTCAAGTTAGAACCGAGGAAAAAAATCTCGCTCGCCGGCGCCGCGAGAATGCCTGGAAAGAAGGAAGCGAAGGGCTGTTGGAGGAGCTAGGGCATGATAGGAAGGACGTATGAATGCAAGATTGCAAGTGGCCAAAGGATTATATAGCTCGTTAGTTGTAGTGGTGATCTGTTGTGAAGCTTCGTAGTTACGATACGAAAATCAGATACTAAGATCCGCTCTGCCATGCAGGGATATCATTTTTGCATTTACTTCGAAATCAAGACGGGAATTAGTGGGTCGATGAGTTAGACGTTGCATCTTGCATTGCATTATATCATGTAAAGGTCTTTCATTGCGGATCGAATTACAGCCAGGATTCAGGAAACACAAACACAGACTTGAGCATGCCTTGTATCGATGCAGAATAATCATTTTTTGAATCTAAGGAGATAGGATTCGAATGGATTGACTTGCATTCATTTATCCAGGTCATTGCCGTCTCTGTTCTGATTTGAGAAATTCTTGAGTACAAACACATCTAATTGTGGTAAGCGGTTTGCTGTTCCTTGCTTTCGCTTACTGTACTTCGAAGTGTTTGCAATGGCTGCCCGTGTGGGTGCCCCAGCACCAGCACCAACTGCTCGTCCAGGGATCACGTTGCCAAACCAAACGCTTTATATCAATAACCTCAATGACAAGATTAGCAAACAAGTTTTGCGAAGGTTTTTAAGCTTTTTGTGCTAATATCAAAGAAAGTTGACCAATACTGCAGTGAGCTTTATGTTTTGTGTTCTCAATTTGGAGGCGTTCTTGACGTCGTAGCATTGAAAACGGGCAAAATGCGTGGACAAGCTTTCGTTGTGTTCCAACAGCTCACCGGTATCTTGCAGGTTTTGTTGGTTCGAACACGACTGACAACAATTTTCTGCTTTCAGCGGCTTCAGTTGCACTTCAGAAGTTACAAGGATTCGAATTTTATGGGAAGCCAATGAGAACAGCGTTCTGCAGGACGAAGTCGGATGTGATTGCCAAGGAAGATGGCACCTTCGTTCCCAAACAAAAGAGGAAGACTGAATCGCACGTGCCCGCATACAAGCAACCGAATAAGAAGCAGATGGTGGAGAGCCAGGCGGAGGCACAGCCGGAAGGAGATCAAGACATGCAGGAGGAGACCAATCAACCCATCAACAAGATTCTGTGAGATTCGTCACGCGCGAATTCAGGAGCGAGAGTTCGTGTGACTATCCCCCACAGGTTCTTGGAGAGGCTCCCTGATGAAATCAACGTGGAAATGCTTCAAACTCTCTTCAAGCAGTTCCCTGGCCTCGCAGAGGTCTGTCTTGTCATTGTCCAAATCTTGAGAGTGCAGTGGTTGACCAGAACTTTCAGGTGCGCATGGTCCCTGGAAAGACGGGCATTGCCTTCGTCGAGTTTGAGTCAGACGCACAAGCTGCAACTGCCCGTGACACCCTTCAGGTCGGTGCAACCCCGTTTGTTTGTCATCATCATTGAAGGCTACATTTCAGGGTTTCAAGCTTACACCGACGAACACACTCAGAATCACTTACGCTAAGAAAAATTGAAAGTTGATTGGATGCTGATATGATTCTACGTATCATGCTGTGGAATTCTACATTCTGTAAAGACATGACATCTTTTACTAGCCCTGAGCATCAGGCTTAGTCGTTGGACATAGTTTGCCCACTTTACTTCAATGTCTTGAGTCCCTGCTACTCCTCGCTTTCATCATCATCCTTCTCCTCTCGCACCATCCTTGTGTCCACGGGGTTACCTCATCATCTCTCGTGACTACCATGTCTCTATTCTTCAAGTTCTTCCTCTCCGCTCCTCTCCTTGACCCAACTACATCTTCCCTTGTATCCTTGAAATGCGCTCGCTACACCCCATTTATCTGTATCACCCTACCCATATTTTCAACAACTTTGATATCCACCCGTGGTGTTTGTAATTTCAAGTACCCACCCCTAGTCTTTGTTGAGGGCAAGGAGGGGATCGGGCCCTTCTTTGTACAACGCGAGTACCCACCTGGTACAAATTTCACCACCCCTACCTACCATACCCGACCAGGCATCGGTACCTACCACGAGCGATCCGTTCTCCCGATGGCGATTACGGAACAGAAGGAGGCGACAAGGACGGGAGGGAAAGGAGATGAGGGCACTGGAGTACTTGCAATCACATTCTAGAACGAGGAGGAGATGTTCTCTGAAGCTCATGGGGGATTCTTGACTTGAACGGCCTCTCTGTGCTCGTCTCATGTACGAAATTTTTCCTGGACAGTGCAGTGCCGCCATGCAGTGATCTGCTTTCTTGTAAAAGAGATCGTTGCTTTTGCTCTGAGCCATAACCAACGATGTCATCTGAACTTGATAGCATCGCATTTCTCTTCTTGACGCTGGGCGAAGTCAAAAATCCGCTGGCTTGGGAAGCATGGTTCCATAAGGCCCGCAAGGAAGTTTTCGACATCCACGTACACGCTAAGGTACTGCTTGGTCTGCCGCTTGCGCATCATGAGACATCTCTTCAGTTCGAGGATGAGGTGAAGCATCCGCTGTTCAAGAACAATCTCATTCAAGGGATCAAGACCAAGTGGGGCACTGTGTCCCTAGTTCAAGCACACTTGCTGCTGCTAAATAAAGCTCTCAAGAAGGAGAGGAATAGGTGAGGACATGGGTCAAGCAGACCCTGCTTTCATTTCTGACGCCGGGGCTGCAAGATGGTTTATCCTCCTCAGCGACAGCTGCCTCCCTCTTGTGAGCTTCGAGGTTCTCCTCAAGACTCTGAGGAAAGGGCATCATCATAGCTGCTTCGACCTTCACAGTGGTGACGTTTCCAGTCTTGCGCGTGTTGGTGTTTGATGCCAGAGCAGTGAAAGCTCAGAAAGAGCAGAGGAAGAACATCCAGCTGATAACATCAGACCTGTTGGTCCATGACGACCTTTCCCCTGTACCCTGTCGCCTCGAAGTTGCCAATGGTGACGGGATGCAGGATGAAGAGCTGATCAAGGACCTTCTGCTACATGAAGAGATCACGGCTCACTCTCAGTGGTGTATCCTCAACAGGAAGGACGCGGAGATTCTCGTCCAAGGAGGAAACATCGAGACATGGTTTGAGGCGTGAGTTTCCCATTGCCCTGTCTTCCATGTCTTGGCACAACCTTTGTTGACTTGTTGTCTCTTGTTGACTCACTTGGCTCGATTGTCTCCACAGATACCGGAGGTTTTTGAGGCCCAACCTTGTCAAGCGCAGTTACCTGCTGGCGCCGGACGAACTTTTCATCCTCACGTTCCTCCGCCACTTCCACAGGTAGGGGGGAAGAGGAGCGACCAGAATGATGGCCTCGCGTTCAGGACGCAGGGGACGTCGTACAAGTTCATCAACAGAAAGAGCACTTTTGCTCACTGCTGCCTTGACATCGCCCACTGCTGCTGCTCGCTGGGGAGGGCAGCGCACCCACTCTCCTTCACGTCCCTGCAGAAAGATCTGCTCAGTCTCGCCTTCGCGCACGACTCGCTGTTTGCCAGGAAGTTCGAAGCAGGTAACGAGCCCTGTCCTCGCATGCGAGCGTTTCTCACTCAGAGCAAGGGATTCACATCGAGCACTTCGAGGCTCTCTGGGAGAGCCGGTGGGAGTCCAATCGCATCCTCGACGTTGCTGAGATCAGCTCGGCACTCGCTAACCCGGACCGGCTGACGCAGCGGCAGCAGCTCGTGATCGCTATGAAGTTGTCGCGCCATGCCGGAAACTGTTCGGAGGTGGAGGTCCAGGAGGAGTGCGACATGGTGCCAAGTCCTGCGGTGGAGGAGGGGAGGAGGAGCTCAGGGGCGGGGGAGGAGCAAGGAAAGCGCAAGAGGTCGAGAGTTTGTAGAGAGACCTGCCAAGCTGAGCCGCTGGACGCGGGAGAGATCACTCAACGAGTGTCGAGGGAGGAGAGGAAGATGATGGCGACTTGGAACATGATCATGCAAGCAGAGGAGCTGAGGGTGAAGAAGGAGGCGCGTATACGGAAGAAGATGGAGACGTCGGTAGAGCAGAGCAAGGTGAAGGAGCAGGAAGGAACCGGCACAACAGACAAGGAGGTGCAGAAGGGTGATAGCAAGGAAACGATTGAGGAAGAGGAAAGGACAAACTTGGGGGCAAGTGCGGTGACGCCGAAGAAGGCGGAGGGGGGGAGGAAGAACAAGGTCCTCTGCTACAACTCTCAAGACGTGGGAAAGGTCGAAACCTGCGCTCGATGTCTCCCCTGACCCCTTCTCAGGTCATCAAAATCCTCTGCGAGGACGATGGCCTCCTGCCGGTTGAGCTGTTGGAGTACAAGAAAGAGAAGAAGTTCCTCGTTAAGTTCCTCAGCGACGGCACCTGCATGCTCGTTGATCTCGCACGTGTTGTCCACCGGCAGTTGAAGGTGAGACATGCCGTTGCTGGTGGTGGTGGTGGTGGTGGTGGTGGTGGTGATGATGATGATGATGATGATAATGACGACGACGACGGCGATGATGATGATGATGATGGAGGAGGAGGAGGATGAGGAGGACATGGTGGTGGTGGTGATGGTGGTGGTGACGATGATCATGTGGACAGGGGAGCAACAGGCATGCAGCAAGTAGCAGGGAAGCAGGCGAGGAGACAGAGCAAGAAGGGAGTGCGAAGAAGAGCAAGAAACAAAAGAAGATTGTGACCTCATATGATGATTCAGAAAAAGTGGAAGAGCCAAAGAGCCGGGAGGAAAGGAAGTTGCTTGCTACGCTCAACAGCATGCTGAAGGCAGAGAAGATGAGAATAAGGAGAGAGCAGACAAGGGTCGGGAAGAAGTCGACCGGCTCGGAGGAGAATGTGGAGGAGAAGAGAGAGGTAGGGAGAGAGGAAGCAGGGAGGGAGGAGGAAGAGCAGGGTTCGCAGGGAGAGGAAGAGAAATCGTCCAACACATGTTTGAAGGGCGGAGGCGAGCAAGGAAGTCCGCCGGAGCAAAGTTTGTATGTGCTGGAAGCAGAGGGGAGAAGAGAAGTTGTGTAAGTCAGTGAATTCAATAACTTGTATAATCGCAAAGGCGCAAGAGAGAAGCGTCAACATATCACATCCAGACTCTCTTCTCTCCTGTCGACCAACTCGTAGTAGTCCGCTGAGAGCTCGAACACGGTCCTCAGGTCTCTCATCCTTTCACGCTTTTCCAGCTCGAGTGAAGTGTCGCAGCCTTGGGAAGGAGAAGAGCATCCGCTCGCATCACTGGAAGACGACAAAGAAGAAACGAGGGGAACGCACCTTAACTCTTCCTTCTCCTGCATCATCTCCTCCTCCGGCATGCTACATGCGGCGCACGTGTCAGGGGGATTTGCTCGCAGGCATCAAGCGGCTTGATCAAGCTCGTACGTTTTGAAGAAGGACAGGAGCTCATGGAATCCGAAGCCTGTTGCCGAAGTTCTCTTGCCCTGACCGTGAGGAGGAGAAGCCGGGCGGGGAGGGCCGGGCTGAGCAGCCTTCTTCACGTTCGAGTCTCCTCCTGATTTCGGAACTTTTCCTCCGTTGGAAGCGTACGCGAGAAGCTGGTCGAACGAGAAGCTTCCTGCGGACCTCCGGCGGTTCTCCTCCTCCTCGTCTGCGGGGCTTCTGTTCTCCTTGTCTCCAGCCCCCCCAGTGACCTTCTTGATGATCTGGTACCCGTCCTTCCTGATAATCTGATATCCGTTCCGTATCAGGACGTTGTTCTGTGCCTGCTTCCGCATGGTGTTGCTCGAGCTCTTGCTCCCTAAGGGCGTCCGCACGCTCTGCTGGTCTTGTGCTCCCACTGGCGTCGAAGGTGCGGACGGACGGGCTAGCGACACAGCCCGCTCTTCCTCCTCCTGCTGAACCAGCTCCTCTTGCCCTTCTGGTATCTCTGACTCCAGTCTCTGCTCCCCACTGTGGAAAGGTTCGCTGATAGTCTCGTCCAAGCTCGGCTCATTCCCCACAGGCAACGCGTGGAGGTCCTCCACCACGTCCTTGGGCTGAGGAAAGAGATCCTTGACCGACGTCTCCTCGCTCAGGATGCCCTGCAGCCGCAACGACTCGAGGATCTTGTGCTCCACCGTCATCGGGGAGATCCTGCAAGACTTGCGCACAAGGATGACGTCACCTTCCAGCCCTGCCACGTCATGATGAGCGACTTCACATGCTGGCGTGTCCTCGACGTCTATGCGGGAGATGCCGTCGTAGACGTCGCTGGAGGAGAAGGACTGGTCACACTGTCGCGCCTTCTGCTCGCACTGCTTGAGGAACCAGTCGAGCTCGGGGTATCTTTCCTCTCCTTCCGCTTCATCAGGAATGATCGCCAGGCTGATCTGGCTCGCCTGCAACCCTTCCACCTCCTCAAACACAAAGATCTTGCTACGTGGAAACTTGGCTGGTTCCAGGTTGGGAAGTATGGACTGCCTGATTCCGTCCGCCTGCAGCCCTGGAATGCACGACTGCTCCCCGTGGAAGACATTAACATGCACGTACGAGGTCTTAGGAACAAACTGGTAGGAGGGTTTCAAGTCCACTCTCTCCCTCGTAGGTTGGTTGACGGCCGTGTTATCGTGCTTCTCAAGAGGATCGCCGACGGTCCCATCGGCCGAGTGCACCAGGATCGACTCTCTGATCCGGCTCGCTTGCAAGGAAGGGATGCCTCCTGTGAGCGCGAGGGGGTCCGAGTGACTCTCCCCTGCTGTAAGGGATGAGGTGATTGAGCTCCAGACGCTGCTGCACAGCTGGAGAATATCTCGAGGAGGGTCAGACATCTGTGCAGGAAGACCGTCAGCAAGAATCTATCGCGATTGAGATCTTTGTTGGTCAACTTGCTCAGTGAGATGGAAAGTACATGTTCAAAGAATTAACAAAATGCACACAATCCTCGCTTCCTACATCTGAGCAAGCTAGAATAAAAAACATTTTTCTGCTGCTCATCCTACGCCTGCTATGTTTTGTCAGTGATCGCAATCTCATTCGACAACTTTGAGTTTGAAGGCAAGGAGGAAAAGGTGGTTCGCATGAGAGCAGAGCAGAAATTGAGGATGCTGCAGGAGGAGAGGAAGGGAACGAGGAAGCGTGTGCTGTCCCATGCATGGAGGGAGTTGTCCGAGGGTGGGGAGGTTTTGGGATCGTAGGAAGCGGAAAATTGAGAGGGGGTGGTACACCACGACGATGGAATATTACTTACCAAAATTGGGGTACTCTTGGTAAAAAAGAGGGGTAATAATGTGCCTGGGTAGTCCGGATGGGGTAGGGTGCTGAAGGGCAAAAATTCCGTTGCAAGGCAAACTTTGATTTTTCGCAAATCAGTTCACTGAAAATTTCAAATTTGATACAGAAATATCCTATTTGACCAAGCAAGTGCAAGACAGTGAGCCCCTGTCGTTCAAATTCAAAATTAAAACTGGTTTTACACAAGGCGTGTTGAATTCGTCCGATTGAAAAATCTGCCCTCCGAGGCTGTGAGGCGGACTCGGAGGCGCCCAGATGAACTTACCGTGGTCGGAAAGCCGGGCCGCACACGGTGGCACTGGCCGAGGCCCCGGCCGTCCCGGGCCTTGCAGTCAACACTCTGGCATAACTCAGAAGCTGGCTGTCGTCCGACGATGAGATTCTTTACACAGATATCATTAATTAATTACATTGAAAAGATCATTCCAAGTGATTGCTGTCAAAACTGAGGCGTGCGGCGCGTCGTAGCTCAAGGAGGCTGCGAGGAAGGAGACGAGAACTGCCATGGGACGACCTTGGCCTTCTCGATCTGCAAGAATCAAGTCAGGATCTCAACTTCGCTACTGAGGACTCCGGAATCGAACCATCTTCAGCCCTTCGTCGAACCTTCCTGCAGCCCCTGCCGTCAGCCCGCGCCAGGTTCTCAAGCCACCTTCACCTCCTCTCTTGGATCGGTCGTAGAGCAGCGCCTCCACCTCGTTCTGCGGTGATAAGAAGCTGGTCTTGAGCCCCCCGGTCCGCACGTCCGTCGAACGCATCTGACGCGACATGGCAAGGGCAAGTCAGGCGCAGGACTTGTTGTTGACTGCTCACCCTCTGTCTCCTGATTGGGGAGAGGGAGAGCCGGAGCAGCCCTGTACCCTCCGTGCTCTCTACTAGTCCAACAACATACAGTAAGACAGCCGGGCATCCGCAGATACTGCCAGGAACCTGACTTGGGAGACTTGGAGGTCGGAGACGAGCGAGCTCTGGGGAGGTTGTGAATGTCAGCTTCAGAGGGAAGAGAAGGAGGAGCACTTTTGCTCGACGTGAATGTTGGTAGGCTGCAGCTCGAGCTCCTCGGTGAATTTCAGGTGCTCGAAGGTGGTATCCCGGTGTTTCCTGCGTACCACTTTGTGAGAAACTACTAGTGACGGCAGGGTGGCCGGACAAGGTGGACTCTTCGTGCTGGACACCATTTTGCTTCCACGTTACATGATCTCCGTACTTTGCCGGTTGTCTTGGTACATTCTGGCGATGGAAAGTCTCATCAGACTTGTCTTCTTCTCCCTGGAACGTCATTAGGAATAGCTCTCAGTGTCCCTCTACCACGTACATGCGTCAGGGCGCTTAGTCGAGAGTCGAGCTGAGTGACTTTGGCTGTTGTCCAGCATGTCAGCATCAATCAAAGTCAACCGGGAAGCGAAGAGGTTGCTGTCACAAGACAAATCTTTATGACCTGCCAATGACTTGCGATCATCTCGGCACGCCAGGCTCAAACTTTCCTTGATCTCTTTGGTGATTGACTCGTACCTGTGCGACATCGAATCAGCAATCATTCCTTGGCAGGACCAACTAAGTTAACCTTCGTGACAGGTTGAACAGAATGGTATTTTGTCTCTTGAGATCAGCAATTTGTTTTTGATAAGCCTCTTCCTACAACGAGCAGGGTTACGAGATGCGAGCAACTCAGCATGGACCAGAGGACCTTGGAATATGCTGAGACTACAGCGGAATGGCACTGGTCTCGCATGGCCGCAGTCTTGACTTCTTCTCTCTGTCTGGAAATTCAACAAAAGCCCACCAGATGTCGTTCGATTACCTGCATGTCTTCCAACAGCGTTTGAATCGCATTGTCCTGAATACAGTTGTTAGTTGGGTGTATCAAACTATGATGACAGGGGATCTCCTTTGTCAACCTTCTGTTGGCTATCGCGATTCGCCGCTTGCAAGAGGCTCAGTGCATTACCTGCCCCACTCCATGAGAATCGTCGCTTCCTATCCACACAGCCCATCACCCTTGGCCCGTGCTGCCATGAAAGATATCCGCTGAACGAAAGACACGAGCTCCCCGGCCGTAAGCGCAGACAACCTAGGGAAGGGTTTCATTCTGTCGGTGTCCTGCCGCCGACGTCTCGACTGCTCTCACCTCGTCTGATGTGCCGCATTGGGGTTGAATGTTCCCATGCCAAGCTTCAAGTGCTCCATCATCTCCTGCATCAAATTCATCCCGCGCATCCTCCCTCCATATCTCACATGGGAAAAGTCTTCGATTTGCGTCAGGTCCTCCTTGAGGTACTCATACGCACTCTCACGAGCCTTGTAGTAAGCTCCAGGAGACAGGTCCAGCTCGGGACCAGAGGTCAGGTGCTTGAACTCATCCTGCTGCCTATGCTGTCCTCCGAGCATCGCACTCTGAGAATCCTGCGAGGGAAATGAGATGCAAACGGAGGTCGATCCTCCAGGATGAGACCTCGAAGTCCAACTCTGCGACAAGTCGGGCAAGGGACTCGCCGAGCGAAGGGGGCGCTTCTGCTGAAAAATTGGTGAGGGACAATCTCTTGGAAACAAGTGTCGTACCTGAATTTTCATTGAGGATGCTTTCGACAAGATCGAATTGCAATTGCTCATTCGAGCCTATAACTCTCTCGACAAAAGATTCCTCGATATCTTTCCCGCAAGATGACTCGTTGTTCGTTTTCCCAGAGAGTCCTTCCCCGCTACAAGATCGCCTTTGATCCTCTAAACGACCTGCTCTTTCTGTTTCTGAATCGGTCCTCCCTCTCAGTCCTCCTCTCCCTCCTCTCCCTCCTCTCCCTCCTCTCCCTCCTCTCCCTCCTCTCCCTCCTCGTTCGTTCATCTCGTGTCGTATCTCATCTAGGGCTTCTTGCGCCCTTCGGTTCTCTGCCCTTCATCGCTTTCAAGCTAGTGATCCCTCATCCCCCCACTTGAAGCTCCGGTTTGCCCAGCGGTTTGCCCTCCACGGGGGGGGTGGAACTGCTATATTCGATCTGACAGACGGGCCAACCCCTAGTGTGGGAATTAACTGGTACAAATATTTAGTTAAATACCCCCCCCTCCTTTCCTCATCGCGCCTCCATGCAGAGCGTTCGGGGCACTATGGCGGGGGATTTAGGGGGTGCTGCATGCCATGGCAGGGTGTCACGAGAAAATTCAAATCAAATTTTTGGCGGGCAAAGCTATGTTGTCCCACACCATGGGCAGGCCGAGGCCTCCAGCGAAGAAAATATGCTCATCATGCCACAGACGACGAGAAATGACCAGCATTCGAAAGTGGCATGGTGTGTCTATGTGCACAACTTGTGTTGCAAGGTTGAAAAAACACAAGGATTGCAATGATCTTGAGCAGATCTTGCTCTCTCAATGGGATGATGCCTTGGTTTTCAAGCTGTTGGATTTCTTGCAATGCCATGGCCATGCAACTTTATCTGTGGAGTGTGAAGACGAGAATCTTTTAGTTTCAGCGACCCATTACCTCAAGTGGAGTCTTCGTTCTGTATCCTTGTTTGAAATCCAGAACAAACTAAAGGTCCTCGGAGATGTCTATGGGCCTACATCAGAAGGATTTTCGAGATGTTTTCTCCAGCACTACATGCAGGTTTTCGAACAACAAGCATCTGGCAAATCACATGGAGGCACAAAGGCCAAAGAGATGTTTTGCAGGTTTCAAATATTTTGCAGACGGTACGGATATGAAGAAGTTCTTTCATTGGCCAAGCACAATGAAGAGGGGGGGGAAACATTCACTCCTTGGGAGATGGAGCGAAGAATAGCTGATGGACTAAATGACTTTGATGAACACAAGATCCGCTTTAAATTCGACGAATGGTTATCCAATCCCGTCCTCTCTCCAATTACGAACAAGTTGTTGTTTTTCTCGCCGTGCATCAATCACTTGTTGAAGAATGTCAGGCATTCCATTGGATCAGGGAAGTCTCAATCGTCTTCTACGGAAGCCCAGATATGGCATAAAGCTTACAGTGATATCGCCAAGAAGAATCCTGCTTGGATGACTCAGATGGAAGTCGACGGGACCGCCGATCCACAATCGGTGGATATCATGCTGAAGATGTTCAGTGACAAGGCCATCAGTCTACTAAAGGCAGAAGGACATGAAGCGACAGCAAGAATGGCAGAGGCTATGTCTGGCCTGCACAAAGCATTCGATGAAAGAGGGCTGAAAGTTTCAGAGAGGATACGTCTCGTTCAAGAGGGTCGAAGATGGCTATTGGAAGGCATCGACTGGACCAGTGTCAGCCAAAAACATGTCAAGGGACTATCATCTGTAACATTTGAAGGCTTCATAGTTGCAATTGATGCTCATCTGCAAGTACAACAGTATGTGAGGGATAAGAATCATGCGCTGGGTGATAGAGACTATGACTTCAATTCACGAACTCTCTGCACGGATAGTGTAGAGAATCTGTGGTCGTTGATCGGCCATCTGAACAAGAAGGATTTTCTGAGAAAATTCAATCAGGCATGCATAGAATTATCTAAAAAGGTGGATCCAAACCTGCCTTTTGTATACGAGCATTCGAAGAAGCGAATTGTCCTGAGCAAACCGCACGACCGTGAAGCTTTCAATGCACGGGATGGATCTGATAATGATGTGGAGCCACACAATAGTACGCAGAAGAACAATCGAAAGCGAGTATATGCTAAATCAGGGCAATGGGATGAAGGATTAACAGGTAATATGCAACGGTTCCGGGGATTGCGTAGCATTGCTGGCTGCAAGTAGAAAAAAGTACGTATTGTGGAAAATATTAAACACTGCTACGATGCAATTCAAATGATTGATACCATGATATAGATTTTACAATTAACTGATAGGCTATGGTGGTTTCACGATTGTCATCATTGCACAGGCTGAATTAATCATCCTTAAACCTGGTCGCCGCCTTGCTGCCATTGCGATTTCCTGCAAACTCACCCACCCCCTCCTGAAAAGGTACCCCCAAAATATCATACAAAAATACCGGTACTAGACCCTTTTATTGGGAGTTCCTCCCCCCGTGATTCTTATGCGATCCTCTCACGCCTGCTCGGAAGGCCAGCTGGAAGGCCAGGGTCCGGGCCGGGCTGGGCTCAGCGGCCGCGTAGTAGGCCCGGGGGGGCCGGACCCCGGCGGCCGGGCCGCTTCAGGTGACCGCCGGGGCCCGGCCGGCATCGTGGCCCTTGAATTTGCGGCCGCCCCGAGCCACGGCCCCACCAGGCACGCTGCCGCTGCCTGAGAGGCCCGCCGACGGTGACCGACTCTTGACGGCTAATTTCAAGGGCAATTCTGACACAGTGCCCGTACTGTTTTTTAATTTAACTTTGAGTAAAAGTGAGATTAGTCTGTGAGAGCGCGGCAAGCCTCCTCGACTCGTACTGATTTTTGACTTAACTTTGAGCAAACGGTTGATATGCTCAGCGATATGCTCAAGGTTTTGATATGCTCAGTACGCCATTTTAGTGGCCCCCACAGTTGCAACGCTTCAAAATGAACAGGCATGATTCCCTGCAATGGGCTGTGCCCCGTGAAGCACTACCCGGTACCGTAGTGCCGTCGGAAGTTGTTGAGTCCCGGTATAGCGGGTACCGTTACTGACGCTGAGACTCGCCGCGCGCGGGGGGGGGACTAGTAACGAAGGGGCGGCCACACCCGCCGGGTAGTAAATTGGAAAGGAGGGTGACCCCAGCTGCACTACTGAGCCGTTTACAAGAAACTAGTTAGTAGTAGTGACTACCGTTACGAACCCCGGTGATATTTGGATCGAAATCACGTTTGTTCGATGCTATTAAAAACAAAAATCCGGCGGTAGACTATTAAAACATTATTATAGCCCAGCTGCTCACATGGCCCCTGAGTACCCCCCTCTTCTCTTTAACGGTGGCAGGGGGGTGGAAAGAGGCGCCCCTTTAAAAGACCGGCAGCACACCCGCTCCTTCACTCGCGGACTCGAGTCCCGTCATCCAGATGCTGCATGCTTCCTTCGCGTTCGACTCGCAGGCTGGGCAGCCTATGAGCTTCGCTCCCAACCTTCCTTCAGGCTCTTCCGGCATGCCCAAGTACAGCCAGAACCAGTCGAGTCCTCCCCTCGGGAGCGAAGAAGTGAACGACGCTCTCATGGAAATCATTCAGTGCTGCATTCCGGTGCCGTGCGATGACGTCAAGGTAGACGAGGATGCACCGAACAAGTTCGAAGCTTATAAGAGCGATGGAGATGTCGTCTACTTCATCTGGATCGATCGCAACGTGGACAACCTCAACTTTCTCCTCGAGGTTCGTAGGATGCTACATCGAGAGGGCGTCTCTTTCTCGTACCGACAGCTGGTCAAAGAGTTCTACTGGTCCCTCACTATCGCCAAGAAGACAAAGATCGTTCAGGTGTCCGGCAGACGCTACGAGCCGCCCATGTATCCCCAACCATCGCAGACTACCATCATGCCGCAAGCCCTTCAGACACACGTCAAGACCATGTCCAACCATCAGCTTTGCTTTGAGGCCACGCTCACGTGTCAAACGCTCGTTTCGCAGTTCTTCTCCAAGATCCTGTACTCTGAGCTCACAGAGTTCCTGAACATGAGCACTATGCCGGGGATCATCAGGTTCCTTTCAGGGGGCAAGCAGGTCAATGCTCTCAAGCCTGATTTCATCAAGTTCAGCGCTCTAATTTCGAAGATGGAACCGCGCTTCATCCTGCGCTTTATCTACCTGTTAATCTTGGCAGGCTCCACACCTGCGATCTACAGTGGCGAGCGTGACAAGCTGAATGCCGAAGTCGTCTTCACCACCATGAAGCAAGTCATCATCATCGACACCTTGGAAGGGATTTGCAGCGGTCACCTCGGCAGGGATGCAGTCATAGTGATGAAGCTCGTCTCCTGCGGCTGTCTGCTGGCTGTTGACATTGCACAGAACTGGGCGGCACTGGTGATGTTTATCAGCTACGCCATTGTGTTTCTCCTGGAGGGGGTGGAAGCTTTTGGGATGAAGAAGTACGCCGGCAAGTACGACGAATACACTCTCCTCTCTGCACTTGCGAGATCGAACGATTTCGGGGTCTTGGTCAGGAACGCGTTTGACACGAATCCTGATTGGGCTATTTATGTCGACAGGCACAACGAAGGAGTGGTAATGCCGAATGGAGATGTTGTCTTCGTCGGAGATCAAGTTCAGGCAACTCAAGCAGAGTCTCCAACGAGAACAAACCTGGACACAGAGTACAAGGAGGTAGCGGTGTTTTCCATCAAGCAAGTGAAGGAGCAGATACCAGCGCTGGTCAAGAAGACGTCAGGCTATCTCACAGGTGGTTTCGTGGCTGCCACTGGCCTCGTCCTCCTGGATGGATTCTTTTCGGTATTTGGGTGCACAACCCTGTCAGTCAGGTGGTGATCATTCTTGCCATGGTTCTCATCTCAGTCATGATCTGCGATGACTTGACTCAGAGGTTTGTCGCCTACAACATGAACAAGCACTTCACGTTCATCATCATCATCGCCCTCGCTGCCGCCCAGAATGTGGCCGTGAGCAACGTCGGGTGGGTTCAGGATAGCTCGCAGATTGACAAGAGCCAAGACATCTTTCCTCTTGCAAGCCTCGTGATCCTTCTCGGAGTTGCCTCAACCATCCTGATCAAGATGGACTTGTACTTCTCTCCGGAGAAGAGCATCTTCAAGTCCAACAACACCGGCCTCACCCGAGTTTCAATGGACAAGATCGTCAACGGCAACTTCGACGCCCTGGATGTCACCGAGTTGGCTGCTCTGATTGACTACTTTGCCGTGCGAGTGGAAGGAAAGGACGACACTGACAACGTCTCCAAGTACAGCTTGAAGAAGCTGTGGATCGATCACAGGATGGCAGCCATGGGCTCCCTGCAAGATGGGGACATCGCCAAGTTCCTGGATTGGTATCAGCGCAGATTGAGCAGCCTGGCCTAGAGTAGAGAGCGAAGCATCGGAGCGATCAAGGAACGCGCGAACTCTGAGATGAGAGAGCTGTGAAGATTTCCATATCATGATGGTTTCATAGAAACTGGATATTCTATGTTACAAGAATAAATCACCGTATGTCATACATCAGTCTACAACAAGCGTTTACAACTTTTACATCATGTCCATCCTCCCTCATGATCAGCAGCAGAGATTCTGAACAACTTCCTGTTCAGTCAAACAGCGTCAGCATGTCAGCAAGAACCCAAACAACTTATCAGGCACCTGGCCGCAGCAGACGGGGAAGTGACTTCATCCGTCGCTTCGCTCTTGATCTCGTGCTCTTGGATGGCATACTTTTTGAAGTTGATGCTGTGTCTTCTCGACACGCTCCTCTTCTTCTTCACTGTGATCTCATCCATATTGTACAAACTTCTCGAGTTCTTCTGTGATGGCCTACGCGAACGGTTGGACTTGAAGGACGATCCTCCTTCCACCGCAGCTCCGTCGTCGCTCAACAGCGTCAGGTCAAGGTTGGACCCTCTCTGACTCGGAGATGACTGATCCCCAAACTTGCCAGAGGAGCAGATGGAGTCTGACCGCCTTGACGACCCGTCGCTCTCATTCAGAATGTCCATGAACTCCTGGCTTGCGGTGACGCAGTCAACTTCTCCAAACTTCTCCAGCCCCATCAAGTTCTCCACTTCGCTCCCGAAGAGATGGTACCGCGGCATCTTCCATCCCACCACCTGCGCGTCCATGCCGTCACTGACTAGTAAGGTGGATCGCCTGCTCTCCTTACCCCTCCGATGACCGGCCCAGCATGCAACACGATCCTCATCTTGATCGCCCTGTTGGGCAGGCTCTTCAGCCCCTCCTCCAGCTTCCTCTGGATCGCAAGAGCAGCCTGCAGCAGACGCTCTGCATCCCTCGGACCTGCCGGAGCCTCCAGCCCTACGGCGCACCAGTACCCTGAGAGCGGGTCAGAGGAGCAGGGGGGCCGGGCGGACGCTCTTACCGTCCCCGATGGTCTCGATCTTGGTCACGTTCCAATCCCTGCAGATTGAGTCGCAAAGGACGAAGACTTGGTTGATGACCTGAAAGAGCTCGCTAGCCTGCAAGCTCGACGACAAGTGCGTGAAGTTCTCTATATCTGCAAACATCTGGCATACACAAGGCAGATGCTCTGCAAAGAAGAAGTTCCTGATGATCGATCCCCGCCCCCTCTGCATGATCCGATCGCGGTGCTCCATCAGCGAGTTTGTTTGAGCAGCGATGACGTGCTCAGGCATCAGAGTCTGAGTGATGGACTCAACCCTCTTGGACAGGATCTTCGCTTTGATGATGCTGATGAGTTGACTCCTCTCGTACACATCTGTTCGCCAGATGTTGTACATTGCGAACAGGGCAGGGATCACAACAAAGAAGTAGGGACGACGGATGAAGGTGACGTTGACGCTGCCGCATGTTGTCAGCAAATCTTCTCCGTACAAGACCATGCAGATGCATGTGTCGAGCATGAAGACCGAAATGAAGAACACCCCGTGGGGGAAGGGAGCAAGAACCCACAGCCCTTGCACCTGCCATACAGTCAGCTGGTCAAAGTTGGTGCGGATGAATCTTACGCTGAGGCAGGCGAAGAGCATGAGTCGGATGTCGATCATCCAATCGAACCATGACGAGCTCTGCAGGACCATGCTTTCGGTGGGAAGAAAGTGAATGCAGAGGAAGTAGAATGCCCAGAATGATATGCAGGAGCCGTTGGAACAAGCCATCCGAGCATAATCAAGAAATCTTGACCGTGTCAACAGCGTGATAACGAATGCGACGATGAGCACGAGCTGGAGACCCAATGCGATGCATGCAGTGTAAATGATCTTTGTGGCGCTCTCTTCGTGTGCCAGTCGAACATCCATGGCGAAGCAGATCAAACAGATGATAAAAGAAAGAAGAGATCCGAAGAGCTGGGATAAGCAGATATGATTCGACCGGATGACTTGGTAGACCTGCTCCAGAAAAGGATCTCTGAATCTGATTGAAAGGAATTTCAAAGGTCGATTGAAGACTGACATGAAGTCCTCCACTTGCAGCTCCTGGATGATATCATGAATCATATCATCTCTTTCGTTGTCATAATCAGCCGATTGAAACACTCGATCTTGAAATGTAATCTGCATCATCATGCTATCGATTTCAAGATTGTTCGTAGACAAACTGTTGTCAAACATCACGAAGCCATGTGTCGACTGGTCCATGGCTTTCGCCGAAGACTCCTCCAAATGTCCCGTAGCCCCTCTTGGTTCAGCATCTTGATCCATCGAAGACTCGTCGTTCAGCAGCATCCAAAGATTGACTGCACCTTTCCTTTCACCTGAGATTCACATCAACAAAACCATCAAGTGAGAAAACAATTTGAACCTCGAAGGCGCCCAGTCGCCTGATCTTCAGATCAGAGCCGCTGAAGCAGATGACGTCCCCCTCCAGTGTTGAGTCGACATCCACACCATTATTCTCACATTTCCCGATCCTCTCGACAGTGTCTTGAGACAGCACAATCTTCGACCCTGACTCGCTCGCGAGGTCCTGTGGGATTGCGGCCTTATCGCTCTCGCACGCTGCCACACTCTTCATCCTCGAGGCAGTGTTGATCGTGTCTCCGAACAGCCGATACCGCGGGGTGTCCTTCCCTGCGATCCCTGCGACGATGCTGCCGCTATGCATCCCCATACTCAGAAAAGTTTTCTTGGAGGACGACCAGCGCGACCGAAGAAACAACGACTTGACGCCCGCAGCAAACTTCGCCATCTTCACCGCATGGTCTGTGCAGACGTCTGGAAGTCCCGACGCCACCACATATTCCGCTCCGATCGTCTCGACTTTGAACAGGTCGGCACTTACATGCACCAGGTGATCGATCTTGTGAAAGAAGTAGTTCAGGTCCTTCACGAAGTCACTCGCCGAGTCGCCCGCATCCTCTGTATTCAACTTGATGAACAAGATAGTCACGTCATGATAGTACGTTGTGAAGTATTGCACTGAAGATCCCATCTGGATCATGCTGCCGTGAATATCGCCATTCCCCAGCAAGAACTCTGCTGCCGTCTGTGGGACCAGGTGGGCCAAGAGCGAGCGGTAATGCTTCTCGTAGGACTGGGCGCGCATCAGGGAGACGAAGTTCATCCTGATGCTCTCCTCTCGTCTCCGTGAGATCAGGATCGAAGTGATCCCGATGAGACCTATCATCGGCATCTTCTCAGTGCTCAGTAGGCAATCTGCCCCTCCGGTGACAATCACGAGCAAGGTGAAGAGGACAGAGCTCCCAGCCCACACGAAGGTGTGCACGAACCTGAACTGAAACAGGATGCTGAAGCATGAGAGGAGCCATTCCAGCTGGCTCTGGCTCCACAGGGTAGACCTCCACCATATAAGGAGAGCATCGCAGCAGCCGTAGAACTGTGCAGCAACGAGCAGCCACATGAACGTGCGCTCGATGGTGGCATTGTAGAGAGGGTCGGTCTGATGGATCTCAGTATGCCCGAAGAGAACCCGCAAGACAAGCTTCATGTTCTGAGAGTTCTTGCCCAACGACAGGCAGAATATCACGGAAGACCAGGCAAACTCAGTTGCTATCAGGACCACTTGCTTCCACTTCTCGTCTTGAGGAAGAGCTTTCATAAGCTGGGAGATGCTGGAGCAGCAGCGACTGTACTCCTCCATTGTCAGTCTGAGTTCGGCTATGCCCAATGTCAACCGTATCAAAGACCAGAGCAGCACCACGAAGCAAGCGATGTTGATGTACCTCCTGTTACTCTCCCAGTAGAAGGCGCGATACTCCGTCTCGAGTTGGACGTCGTCGAACTCAAGGAAGAAGAGTCGAAGACGTCTCTTGCTCATGAAGCTCATCCTATCCAGCTTCGAGTAGTCTCGCAAGCTGTCTGTCTTACTGCTTGTGCCATCTTGCGTCAACTAGCCCAATAGACCGTATCACACGAGGTCCATGCGCAGGGCCCTTCAGCAGAAGTAGCCCATCCCTCTCCTCAGGCTCTTCAGTCCTCATTTCTTCCTCCCTCCCTCTTCCTCTCTCTCTCTCTTCCTCCCCTTCCTTGGCTTCTCGCCGCTGCCGCCAAGGCTTGGCCGATGGCTCCATTAAACCATAAATTGTAATCCGATTCTGTTCTCTACTACTACCAGACTTCTTCGATTTGATACGATCGGGTGGATATGGTACAATTTTATAATACAAATAATTGAGAATTGATAATATTTATGCTTACGTGTTGAATGATTTTTGTACAAATGAAATTATAAAACATTATTATTTGTACGGCAATCCAAGTCGTAAAAAGCTCTCGCAGCTGACCTCCGGAAACCTTTTTAAGATTACTCAAGTCTGATTGTACTCGTACTGATTTTTAACTCAAGTACTCTCGTAGTACCGGCCGGGTGACTTTGAGTAGCCATGATGAGTATAGTCACGGTACCGCCGGGCCCGCGGCCCTGGGAGGGCCGTGTGACCAACCTTGCTCCATCTAGGGGGGATATGGTACCAAAATAACCCTCCCCGGGGGGGTCTGAAATTTTTCAAGTCTAGTTTATTATGGGGTAGTGGTATTAGTAAAGAACCCCTAATGTTGTGTAACGGTTAGTTTGATTTGAAGTTACAAGGGAGGATGGGGTGGTCTTTGTGGGCTCGCCTCAGAGTTGAAGTTTGAGTTTAAGTTTGAGTTTAAGGTTCAAGTTCAAGTTCAAGTTCAAAGTTCAAACGGTTAATATAGTGATTAAGGTACTGATTTTTAACTTAACTTTGAGTAAAAAGTTTAGGGTACCAGAACAATCGAATGAGTTTTCGTTCAAGTCAAGTTTATTGAAGATCAAAGAGATTTTGAAAGTCAAAGTTAAGGCCTGACATATGCGGACGAACGATATGTTCGTTGATCAGCAAGAAGAGGAACTTATAGTGGAGACTGAGGATAGTATCGGGTTGTTGCTCAGCGCGACGCACTGCGGTCAGAGTCAAAGCGATGATGGTGTAGAGCTTGGTATGTTTCTGAGTTGCGATGGTGTATTTGAAGACGGATCTGAGAGGTTGGTCAATGGCGCAGTGAACTGAGATGAAGATATCGTTGTTGGTTGACAATGTATCGACCATGTTGTTGATGTAATCCCTTGTTGGGACGTGGGTAGAGTCACGCAGTGGGGGTCTGAGTGAGGTCTTTG